GAAATAAGGTTGGAATTGGTGTTCTCCTTAAATTTCTGGGGGTTATATGCCTCGGGAAACACCTCCCTTGGCAATGTGTTCCAGAGCCTTGCTGTTCGTTGGATGGATATACCATAGCATACCTCAATTCGTAGAAAAAATAGCATTCCTGATTTCTTTGAATAAACTCAGCATCGTAATGGTAATTTCATAAGTATTTACGAACAGACAAACGAGTCGAGATCAGGAATACTCCTGATGTTTTCATTTTTGATGAGATTGATGTCTAGGGTGCATGGAAGGGTGATTATTACCCCCTATATCACATCTTCAGTTAGTTCGCCTCTTTTCAAGCGACATAACTTCGAAACTGGCACTTCAGAGAGTTGAATATTTAAGTCGTTCTTGAGTAATGTATTGTATAATAGCACATTTTGAGTTCAGTTCGTTGAAAATTTCTTTGTACAGGCTTATAAACATTATAAAATTCCTAAAAAGACTGTATGAGCAACCTGGAAATATCTAAATACGGAATCCATTACATAGAGTTAATTTTATGAAATAAATCACTGTAGACATTCATTCCTGCAATAATTTATTTAATGATTTCGTTCAGTAATACTTTGAATAGTCCGGCAGGTAGGTGAAATTATTGTACGAAGTGCGCATTTAATAATAATAATAATAATAAATCATTTATTTTCCTTTTGCATGATAATACAAATATTTTATAGGAATAGTCAAATTGTCAGAATCAAAGATTCATAATGAGAACAATTCTCCTACACTGTAAAAACATTTATTCACTAAAAAAGTTCTAAGCCTACGTTTGAATGAAGATATAGAATCAATATTCATTATTATGTCAGGTGAATGATTGAAAATTTTGGGCCCAATATAGTTTGGAGCAACAGAAGTTATTTTAAATTTTGCATATGGTACATGAAAAAGATTCTTGCGTCTTGTATCAATCTGATGAATAGCGCTATTTACTACAAAATTTTGATTAATACTGTCTGTAGGTTAATCGAGGAGGTGGTACATTCATTTTACTTGATTTTTTTGGATTTTCTCTCCTCGTTTCCATGAAATGAAAATATGCGTATTATTTCAATATATTTGTAGTGGGACAAATCAGATGATTTGCCCCAGAATGTCACTGCGTTTAACAAATTTTTCTATCAGGGAGCTTAAAAGATAAATCCAGTATAGCTTGTCAGTGACACTTTGCTTGAAGAAATGTTTGAAGAAAAAAAAAGGAAAGGAAAGAAAAATATCGAATTTTTACTTATCTCTGGACGTTTCGAGAACGAATCTGCTCCCGTTCTCAACATGAAAATGCAAAATATTTTTCTTTGGAAGTTGTGCTCTGCTTATAGTTTGACACTTCTCAGTGTCATAATGATGTTGGCATAATATGAATGATTGATTTTAGTCTAAAAATGACTTACAGGATGATTTTATTAATTGATCTTGAATCACCATTTTCATGTTCAGAAGTGAATACCATGTTCTATCTATATCAACTGAAAGAAAGCAATGCTACTGTCTCCGTTCAGAAGGATACAAAGTAAAAATTCAATTTTTTCTTCAATACATCCATATTTCTTTCCTTCGAACATTTTTTGAAATGAGAAAACAAAAATGAGGAAAATGCACAGAAAAACCAAGAATGAAAAGTTGTCCTTGAATTTAATAATGAAGATAGAGTTACTTCTATCTATTATTGAAGGTTTTCATTTAATGTTAGACTAAGTCTTGAAATGAGTTTTGAAGTAGTTATATTTTCATGATAAAATTGAATATTTATGAATATTTATTGATTTCTTCCCAATATTGCATGGGTTTGTTAATAAATTCACCTATCCTCTAACGTTGAATTTGATATCTATCATAATTCCTTGCATGTGGAAACGTGGAAATTATTTTTTAAGGCAAATAATGTATAATTCACAATATCTGTTTGACGCCGCTATTCTGAATGTCCGCAATTACGTCAGAGGAAAAATCTGAGATGGCCTCATATCCAATTTCGAACCTTTATATCTCGCTTTATATATTATGAAGTATACGTGGTCCAAATTGAATGCGCAATTATTTCACCTATCTGCCGGACTAAAATCAGTGAATTTTTGTTTTTATTTTCTTGAATACACGAAAGGAAGTAAGGGAGTAGATTTTTTCATCAATTTCTTGGAGTAAAATATGGTTCTTTGATGGGGATTCCAGAGCTTTCTCCATTTGATAGACGAATGATGGCAAAAAAATACCAGAAGCGGTAGAGATATTTATTTAAAGGGGCTTCAAAGATTGGATAGTGAACAGGAAGAGACTAACAATTGGTTATCATTATCTCCAACATATCATGAAGTGAATATAATTTTTTTATCCCTTGGATCGCACGGAAGAAAATCCCTATAATGTTTGGAGAACATCGTGCGTACCTAGGAGTGATAGGGAGTTAAGGTTTCAGAGTTTTCATGAATGGCCTTCTTTGATAGTTGAAATTCATTAGGAATGAACAATTTCTGAACTACAGATAAACATCAAAATATGGAGATTTAGCTAAAACTCTCATATGAAAATACTGGTTTAGAAGTTACAGGGTGTTCAAAAGAAGGATATCATTTCAATTTCTCAATGAATTTTCGATTTTTATCAGCATGAACATGGATACATTTTGTAGCTTTAGATTTTCTGACATGAGAAATATATACGAATTTTCTAAATTATTTTGTGATTGCTCATAGACGGTGCTAGTGGCAGTCTATCATTGAATAATTTTTGAAATGAGTTGAAAATCTGAAAGCCTGTTCTCTTTTACATAAAAAGAATTATCTTCTGAACTGTTCAATTCTAAAGGTTTGTGTGATTTCATTGAATGAGAAAGTTACCTATTTTCCAAAAATGTAATTGTTTACAGGATGTTCCTTCTGAATATCGATACCACTTCCTGTGACACATCATAAAGAAAGACTGAACCGTGTTTCATCCTGAACTAATGCTTAAATGATGGAAAGATAACTATGGCTGTGAAAATGAGAAAACTGTATAGTCTTCCGTTGCCGATATAAACATAATATCTCATAGATTTCTGTACCTTCAGTAGAAGCAATCCGCTTTCATTCGATTGATTATTATGCAGAAAATTCTAGAGAACAGCGATCTGTCTAGGAAAAGTTTTTTGCACGGATATGGTTCCATCTGTAGTGGAACATTCCAAGCTTTGATCTTATCGATTGGCTTGAGTTGACAGTAAACTGATACAGAATACTACAGAAAGTAGAGAACATTTGGCCTATAGATGGCATTGAATAACTAACTTGGATATAAAATGTGGTATAGCTGATGATATCTATGCCATTTTTCTAGAAAAAAAATTAGTATATCTATGTCGTTTGCGTTTGAAAATATCCTTAATTTTTATCGATTAGTTTATATTGATCTACACCTTTATATTATTTCAGAAGTGGGATGAACTCGGGGATGAATGATTGAATGAACTATTTTTTTGATGTGCCACTAACACTAATTCTCAGTATACTGTCAATTACCAGACCAAAAATGTTGATTTATGACAAACTCGACTTTAACTTCAATTTAACATTTCAGTAATGATAGCCTCGATACTTTTTGAGTTAATCCGCAATCACACATCTTTGAATACAAAATTTCAATGTAGATTATTTGTATATTTTCCAAACTGATGGATCAGCTAGCATTCAACCCTAACTTTTGCCTATAGGTATTTATGAGTTAGACAAGTCAAAATATACAGGTTTTTTTACTCAAAACTCCGCACGCCATTATCTCGAAAACGAATAGAAATATTTAATTGCTGTAGAAAGTAAATGAAAGTATACACTGTATGTGTATTATTGTTTGGTTAAAATATACATGACCATGTTCACTGCTATAGCAGACACAAAGATTTATATAGCTATTCCATCAGAAATAATTGCCAGCTCACCAGTCCTAGATTTCGTCTTGAAATCTCATCAAAAAACTCAATCAACCTGAATTTATATAATGAATTGCCGAAATCATTCAAAAAGCTCAGCTCCTATATAAATTCAAATCAACCATCAAACAGCTTCTACTGCTGCTGAAACACAATTTCTACTAGGTAGATGAATTTCTACTTATGGAAATACACCTATCTTACCTACTACTTTCAATTATATTATCTAGAGCCATGAATTGTTGTGTTTATATGTATACCTGTTGCTTTTATTTCTTATGAGCACATATTTTTCATTTTATTACAACAACAAGATATTTAGGTATATCCAGCGAAGAGACATAATATAACTAAGGACATATTCCGAACTATTTGAACTTTGTAATGGAAGAAATTTCCAAAGACACTTATAAATTCGAGTCGAGAGTAGACCGAATCACGACGATGCGGTGTTGCATTTCTCTCACCACGGCTTGTTATATTTATATAAAATGAAATTTCGTGTTATTGATGATGTCGTGGCTATACTGGCAATCGTATCATTTTTTATCTCTTGGAGCGCACGAATGGATATTCCTATGATGTTCGAAGACGACCTACAGAGGATATGGAGGTAGGGGTTGGAGTATTATTGAACTTTTGGAGGATTTGTCCAGTTTTCTCAGTTTTAATGCATTTCTATCAGAAAACGGCCGAGGTATTTCAAAATATACACGATCGCTGATTGATTAACCGAGCAAAAAAAATCAGTAAAATTCAATTTTGAAGCTACGAGGATCGGTAATTTTTCGTCATTCGCAATCATACTGTTTATTGATCATAAATTTCATTTCGTCAATAGATGAATTACTACCAGAGCTGATTAGGCTCTTTCAAAATTCATACTGATAAAAACTCCATATCGAAAATCCCTAAATTCATTCTGACAGGCGAATAATACATCATAAATACGCCAAAACCATAGGCATCGGTTAATTAACGACCGATTATCTTATCAATTATTACTTTCAAATAGAAAAATGATCTTTTTATTGGCTCACGGTAGTTTGTTTTCACAGAGCCATGAGATCTGTATCTGAATTTTCCTCATCCATTACCGATATTTAGAACTGTGAGATGAGATGTGAAGATGAGCAAAGTGCCGAAGCAAAGTCCGGTGAAGTGGTGGTCAAGAAGGAAAAGATAGGGAATGGAAATATCTTCGATTTCGACGTTAACAAGAGCGATGGGGTAAATATATCAATGAATTTGAAGCAGGGACCATACCATGTCTGGATTATGAAATGAAATGGAGAAAAAGGAAATCAGATTGAAACATCCAATTTGATGTCACTGATAGACCCAAGTTTTTTGTCGCACCCGTATTTTTATCAAACACGAACTACTATACAACATATTCTCAGGTCGGTTATTTTTTTGAAACTTCAGAGACGTCTTATGTACGTTTAAGACGAACCAGTATTAGTCAAAGATTTGAAGTAAGGTTGACCTTCACCCATCTGTTAATTTTATTTAATAAGTTATTCAGCATGTTAAATTTTATTTTAAAAATGGGTTGCTTGTAAAAATCCTGACCAGGCTATGATTGATTAAAAGTTCCAAAATCATTTTTCTACATACAATTTTGCAAAAAAAATATGTGTAGCCACATTTCAAGAATGCTCATTTTCGAAGGGTTGCTTTTGGTCTAACTATTGGGTTGCCAGGTATAAACAGGTATTTTGGTCTGAGTTATTCACACCTACTAGTTTCATCTATGAATTGAACATTGAAATGATCGCTGTTTCATTTTGAACAGAATGATATAGGGTTGCCCACGAAAAGTCTGTTCTGAATAACGGTTTTCTCATTTTAAATAATAAAATTGGTGTGCGACTGTGAACGTGCGACAAAGAGGTCCGAGACAAATATCCCTTGAACATGTTAGTATATCATGCAATAGAAGATGATAGCGATATACTAATAAACAACAATATTTTGGAGCAACTGGTAGTATACGTATGAAAGTAGTTGGCAAAGTGCCGTGAGAAGAAATATTTCCCACAGTATGGGCAATACATGGTTTTGAAACTAAGTAAACTATGAGAAATGCGCTGCTTTTCATAACAGTAGTAGAAAAATATAATTGATGACATACAAAGTCCCTCATCTTGTGTTATAGCAGTAGAAACACTTTTTTCCATTTTTGTCCTACTGGTTGTCTGTCAATAAATGGGAGTAATCACATTCAGAACCCAACAAAAATGTCTACAATTGTTTATCTACATACAGTTTCATTTCACTCTACCAAAACCTGGATATTTTATAGATTCTGTAATATTTCCATATAGATATCCAATGATAGCCATAGCCTTCCATCATTCATGGACGACACATCTGACATGAATTCAGAAATTGTCCTCAGACCTCATGATGGTTTTGAGAAGAAGAGAGTGATTTCTGCTGTCATAGTCCCATCAAAGGGCTACTTCACACCTAAAAGGATACATTCTACATCAGACTTACAAAGTTTACAGGGTGCGAGCAATGGGTTCCTGGAGGTGAGTTTCTTCTTTGTAGATCTATATATACATTTTCAAGTTCGAATTGGGACTTATCTAATTCGAATTGGAATTAAACACGTCCAAATTGGTGAACAAATTCAGAATAGAAATAAACACAATCAAATTGGGAATAATAATTTTCCAATTCAGAATAAACAGTTTCAAATTGGGAATTAACATATGCAAGTTGATGAACACAATCAAAATAGGAATGAATTCATCCAATTTGGGACCAAACAACTTCAAATTGGGAAATTAATTCTCAATATATAAATTTCGATTATTTTTAATTCCCCAAATTCATTGTTCAATTTTGTTCAAAAAATACACCATCTTCAACTGAGCTGAAATGAACAGTTTTCGAGAAATTCGACCCAAAATAGAAGATTGCATAATAATAGTTCATCATTTTCAGTAGTAGAAAATTGCAAAAATATTTTTCTGGTGTTGAGTATTTTAGATAATATTCAGATCGCATTCTGTCGCTGAACAGAAATAGTTATTCCACGCATGAAGAGAAAACACACATTTTTGTAATCTTCTACTACTGAGAAAGATGAAAAATTACTATATGCAAATTTCTATTTTGGGTCAAATATCCCGATAACTGTATATTTCAGCTCAGTTGAAGGCGATGCATTTTCTCAACATAATTAATTGTTCAACGATTCGAGAAATTGGAGATAATCGAAATTTCATCAGTAGCGTAGAAAATATGGGGGGGGGGGAAGTTATCACAACCCTCTGTAGCGCACCTCTGGATGAAATTCTCGGAATGTCTTCCTGGTCAAAAAATTAACCATTGAAAGATGAAACCATTAACCGAATTTGAATGCATTATATTCAGTTTTTCATAAAATATTGCGAAAAAACTATTTTGATTTCTCAACGCCCCGTATCTCGAGAACTGAACACTACATGTCTACACCATACACCATATGTCTCTATCTTAGTTATCATGAAATCACGAATGCTATCACCTGTCAAGCGTTGTCGGTCGAATTTCGCAACACCCTGTATATTTACATAAAGATTCATTATCGATATTCTGAAATCAATTGATATGGCTTTGTGAGGTATTTTTCAAATTATAAATATTTGTTCATTACAGTCGTTTGTATAATTTGAATCTTTTCAGATATTGAATATGATATATCTGATTAAAAATAAGAAAAAATACAAATTAGAGTTATTTTGTAACTTCAACAGATTGTTTGAATTTGTTAAATGCGTGCCGAATGAAGTTATCAGTATCAATTTGAATTCGTTTATTTACAATTTGAATGTGTTAAATCCATGCTGAATCAGTCGGTCCCAATTTGAAGATGATTATTTCCATTTTGGAAATGATAGGTCTGAATTTGAAGTTGGAAAGGTATTGAATGTGAGTATGGTCAAAATGCAAGTTCACAGTCTTTTTCAAGATCAACCAAGAAATCAGCAACCTCTAATTACTCTGATAAAATAGGACGACTCTGTGTCTGTGAATAGGGAGTGGTTTCACTGCAATTCAATGATTATCATAATCAGTGATTCCCTGCTTTGATAAATTCCAAATGCTAGTGTAGTTATTCCCCATTCATTATTATCACCTATGTCAGATATATTATTATTTGATTTCGTTGAATCCCCAGAGCAATAAGAAAAACTATACGGTACCAAGGGGTAACTCCAACGGAATCAACGGAAATCTATCCACGTTTTCTACTGGAGATATTGCAGGTGAGTAATTTGGAATGATTGGAATTGAGGAGAGTTTGTTGCAAAAAGGATACAGCTCCACTTCTGCGTAATTTCGAGGTCAGAATCATTAAACCGTTATTAACAATGAAATTTGGTGGTTGGACTAGTGCAAAAACGAAGAAGAATCAATGAGAAAAGAAGAAATTGAACGCATTCATTTATCTGCCGCCTCAGTTGTTTGGTATCCAAACTAGTCCAAAGCTGCATTTATTTTGCACCAAACGATCGTGTCTATTCTTTGGATATGCGTTGATAATATAATCAGCTCTTCACTTCATAATCAACTAAATCGGATCCATTTAGTGCTAGTGACGTCGGGATTTTTGTTCATACAAGATAGGACCAGGCAAAACGTCGCCCGAGTTGTGAGAAACTACCTAGAGAAATTCTGAATCGCTACCATGGCATGGCCAGCTCGGAGGCTGGATTTAAATCCCATAGAGAATCTCTGGGACGTTCTTGGGATGGAATTACAAGAGCAACGTAGACTGAATATTTTTTGAAAATGCACGGCAAATTTAGGAAGATTCGGACCAACATGGCATTAGGTCTCTTATTTTGGGTATAGGCCGTCTTTACCAAGAAGTTTTTCTTGCTTGCAGGCGAATTAATCGGTACTGACCCATTCGTTCAATTCATGAATTCGCATTCTGTTTCGTTTTTTCGTTATTTGATTGGGATATTTATTTTCCATTAAATCATGCTACGGTATAAAATGGTGTTTCTCGAGTAATAGGAAAGATAATGAAGTGAATCAGAAAAATAAATGTTGAAAAAAGATCAGGCTGAAGTGGGGTTTTAATTTTTACTCGATAGTGTAACTTTTTCACTCTATAGAGTATTACACATTTCCTGAGAAAACACGCTCTAATGGGTGTGTACACCTTAGTAGAACTTTTAACTCAAACCATGTTTATAATGATCCTTTTATACATAAATAATGATTGACGACATAATTCGATCGAAAAATTAACTGGAATGTTTTATTTTTGGACATAAATAATAGTACCTTCTGAAAACGGACCCTCTTATGACGTAGAAACCTCATCTCGCCATAGTTAAGAGAAAATACCAAACGACCGACGGAGACTGAGGCAACTGATATATTAATTCTTTCAACTGTGATCTCGCGCTAATTTACTCTGTCAGAAATCATGTATCATTCATCTCTGTCTGGAATAGTCTTGTTTCAGTATTAGGGTTTTGACGTCACATCATCGCCTCGTTTTCAGAGGTCCGAAAAATCGCGGATTTCAATATTTTGTATTACCAATATAACAGTTGCTTAGTATTATGCATTATGTTCTCAATTTTCATTCCCTTCGAATTATTTTGTAGGTCAGCAGATAGGTTATAATCTAATTCTCAGGATTATGGAATATTGTCGAAGACAGGAATTATGAGTTCGTAGAAAAAGTATAGTGTGTAATGCGTTCATAAAATGTTCATTACATTATATCGAAGTACTAACTCTAACTAGTTCACTATCACAAATCATTTTTCTCCCAGAGCTCTATAATTTTTTGAATGTTTATTGAAATTCACGTTATTTCGTAAAATGACAGAGGTGGGAAAACGCGTAACATAATCGTCCGGAAAAATTCGACATCAGTATCTATCCTCAATTTCTGTAAGACAAGTGCAAGAATATTTCTGATTGTCATTTCAATCTATATATGAAAAAAGTTGAGAAGGTCCTCGCCCTAGACTCCAGTGAATTTTCTAACCAGAATACTCACTGTAGATAACAGAAAATACAACACACAAGTAAAGGATCAGATAATGAGTGGAATATCTTTGAATATTCGTATCTTGACTAGATGAAATCAAAATTTGAAGAGGAAGGTAACATACGATATTGATATTGGGAAGTAAGGTTGACAATGTAGTTCATCTTCTTCTTCTCTTTTTATACATCTGGGAACTCGAGGCATAACGCTGTTACCAGGGCCACAAAATAATTTGCACGAAGTTTTTGAATACCCCCACCAACTTCGATGTCGTTTTTTACTCAATAGTATGTTCGAAGTACATGGTGTAACAAAAGATTTAGCGGTATCCCAACTGTTATATTCAATAAAATGTGACGTCTGGAATATTTTGATACCCCGCGCCAGTACCAAATAGTTTCAAATGAGAACTCTTCGTCTTCACGAAGCAGAAATAATATGGTGTCACCATTTCAACTTTTCGGTATTTCACCTGCACTAATCAGTCAGACTTTCCTTTTCCTAGAACTATTCATGAATAAATAGGTACCATAGTATCTTGGTTAATATTGTTCTGTTATAACCCGTTATGAATGTTTAGATAACAATAATTTGGAGGAGAAGAACAACTATCATTTGAAGAATCGACTATCACCCTTAGTGTGTCCGGTGTGGAATGGGGGTAACGTCAATAAAGCCTTCTCCATTTGTGACTCTACTGATTATTCCCCAAGATCTCCAGGAATGTTTTCAGTAATAGCCACTCCACATCCACCAGACAATCCGACATCTACAATCAACAAGAAGAGAGCTTTCTCGTAAGAATTCACGATTTTTTCAATTGCTTGAAGTGTATAATCGTATATTATTCTGAGTGAATAATAGCTTATTATATGCGAGTAGAATACTATACTTTGTCCACGACTACTATTGTTTTTGATATATCAATTTACTTTTAACAACTGTCTTATCATAACTCATTCGACATTATGGAAACTGAAACTTGAAGATACCTGTTATATTAATTATTTGTCCACGACAGTTGTACTTCCTCAAGCAAAACAATAGCCAATTTTCACACCAGTGAATAATAGCGGTGAATAACCATTATTCACTGGTCTTGAGTTCCTTATATGTTATATCGCGTATCGTAGGAACTATCTCTAGACCAGTGAATCATGGTAATTCACTGCTATCATTCACTGGTGTGAAATATGGGTATCGTTTTGCTTGAGGAAGTACATGTAATCATGAATACTTCATACAACAGTCGTGGATAAAAGCCTATTATGTTCCCTAAGATCTCCTTAGGCAGATTCTGCAAAATCAGGTTCTCAATGATGTGTAATTCCTTTTTTAGAGACCTCTTGGTCAAGAGTCTCAGTCTTATGTATGCTGTATTCAATGTGACAGTTGGCTTGGCAGTTTTCATCGCTGATATAATATCTGACACTCCTCAAATCACTGCAGAAGTAAGTTGAATTATTGGTCTTTATCGTTCAGCATATTGACTTTTTTTCCATGAAGTACAGGGTGATTCAAGGTGTAACCAAAATCTCTCGCAATCTGATTCCTCAGACGAAAACAAAGGAAATTAGTTGTTTATGACAAGATGGAACTGAACATTTTTCCTCGATATAAACTTTTTAGTTACATTTCTGTTTAGGTAACCAGCTTGCAAGAGATTTTTGTCGTGATTTAATATATCCTGTATTATAGGAGACAATTTTTGATATCAGGACTTGACATCATGTTGTTTCGTTTTTTTTTATACTTTTATTTCGATTCAACAGTATTCAGATGATAATAAAGAAGATATTGTGAAGCTGTTCCATCACAACACGATGTTGGGATTTTTATATAGAATTGAAATGAAAATCTATTCAACAAAAAGATGGACCATTAGGATGACATTGACGTGAGAGTATTCATTTCTAAACTTATATTGGAAAAAATTCGAAAAAATTACATTTTTCATACGATCGAAGCTATTACGCCCCCTAGCGGTGGACGTATGGATTCAAAAAATATTTCCAGCAGTTTTTCTTAGTCGATTTCCTCGAAAGAATTTTTTTCCCAAACTTCTGCGACTATTAGTTCCTGAGATACAGTACCTCGTCACCCTTATTGAATCACCCGGTACATGTACGTGGTTTGTTCTTTCCTCAGAATCAAAAATTTTATCTTCCGGCATGATAACGAAAAGTCTTGAACGAAACAGGGCCGATACGCAAATAAAAGATTGTTATAATCCTCGGCTGCGCCACGGATAAAAATATCCTCTTCTGTTATTCGTTACCTATCGGCCTTGTTTCGTAACTATTTTGGATTTGCGGCAATCGTTTGTTTTTTTGAGAACTACTAATATACCTTCATTTTCCTGATGACTTTAGATACACATTAACGGAATAACCCTGTACATATTTTTTGCAGATATTCAGCTTGATATTGGTAGTCATCGCAGCAATTTACATCATCTACCTGACCATAGATGTTTCGATATATTTGCACAAGAAAGAGAGGTACGAGAGGCTGCTAGAGAAAAATATACCCGACGATATAGAATTGACAGAAACGCCAGAAGGATTTTATCAATTCAACATAACGTTGCCAGAAGTTACAAAGTTGGGCCAATCGATCAAGCATGACTACTGCTTCAACAAGGACAGGCATTCGTCGAATTTTTTTCTGAAAGTTGGTGCCACAGGTGATCACTTTTGTCTTATCTATATAGTAATAATGCTCCAAGTCGTCTCCACAAGGTTTAATATCATCAAATCATAAATGGAAAGGGGATATGTTTCGGATCTATTGAGTATCAATCATCAGCCGATTGAGAAAATCATTCTACAAAGAAAAAACAACAATAAAAGGGTATCAATGGTGAAACATGGTAGTACTCACGTGGAGCAGGAAATTTTTTTTTGTGCCTCGCCACATCAGGAGGCCGAAAGACATCCAAAAATGCAAAAACTTTCCATCTTGTTATCTCTGGATTAACCTGATAACATGTGACCAACTGTCAATGTCAAACCCAACTCTGACAGACAACTGCAACTTCAGCTGTCAACGGTGATGCAAGACAAGAGACAATTGGTCCCATGAAAATCATGACAAACTTGTGTATGGTGACATTAGAATATAAAGATAGTAGGGGGACAACCTAAGGTTAACAATGCTATGAGAATACTGTCTGTAGGGTAATAGAGGAGGTGGTACATTCATTATTCCAAATTTTTTGGGATTTTCTCTCCATGTTTCTATTGAATAAAAATATGAATATTATTTCAATATACGTGTAGTAAGAACAAATCAGATGATTTGCCCCAAAATGTCACTGCGTTTAAAGAATTTTCCTACCAGAGAGCCTAAAAGAAAAATTCACCAGCTTGTCAGTGACAATTTGTATTGAAAAAAGTTTGGAGAAGAGAAATAAAGGTATATAGAAAAAATATCAAAGTTTCACTTATCTTTGGACGTTTCGGGATCGATTCTGCTACCGTTTTCAACATAAGAAGAGATTATTTCAATAGCAAAGTCGTATAATATGTCTTGAAGCTTTACAGTTTTCAATGACAATTGGTGACGTTGGCAATCAATTGAGTTACAGGATGTTTTCATCAATTAATCTTGAATTTACCATTTTCATGTTCAGATTCTAGTAGTGAATACCATGTTTTGTCTATATCAACTGAACAAGAAGCAAAGCTATTGCCTCCGTTCAGAAGAATGCAAGCAGATTCCTTGATTTTTCTCTTCTGGTTGTTATCTTCTTTTCCAATGATTTTAATATTATTCCACTCTGCCATATGTTGTCCGTCTTCAGTAAGGATATGTTCAGCTAGTTTCGATTTATCGATGTTTCTTTCCTTTATATTGTACTTATGCTCCTTCGTCCTTACTGAAAGAGGTCTCTTGGTTTCACCTGTATACATCTTTCCACAAACACAAGGTATACTGTAAATACAATTTGTTGACGATTGTTCTTCATTTTTGGGCTTTGTTTGAGTTGAAATTGATCTCATTGTATTTTAAGTTTTGAACACAGTTTTCGCTTGAAATTTATCATTCTTTAAACGCAGTGACATTTTGGGGCAAATCATCCGATTTGTCCTTACTACACGTATATTGAAATAATATTCATATTTTTATTTTATAGAAACGAGAAGAGATGATGTCAAAAAATTTGGAATAATTAATGCTATGAGAATTTTGGAAAGGAAAACTTGCACTGGTGACCAAAGCAAGAGGGAACAATGATACAAACATTAGAAATTCAAGGCATTGAAGAGTTTTTGGCAATCGGAATAGATTTGTTCATTGAGTGGAAGAATATTTTTGTCCTCCAAAGATGAATTGATCTCAAAAATTCAAAGATTCAGCGAAGTACTCTTCCGGCGAATGTGTAAAATTTCATAATCAGTATGAATGTTGAATGAGTGTTCGGAGTTAAGCACATGGTTAGCAAATGTACTTTGGGTATCGAATTCTTCGTCAATGATAGTATTTCTAAATTTTTCAATACATTTTACATGTTCGTTTACTCTCGTATGAATTCTTTTAACAGTTTGACCAATATATTGTGCTTGGCAATCGGGTTTCGAACAAGAGATCCTATATACACCTGACCTAGACGTAGGTGATGATTTGTCTTTAGTATTAACGAAATGGATACTTTACCTAGAAAAGGAATTGAATAGTAGAAGGTTCTAGAACTATTGAGTGGTAGTAAACTATGGTTGATACATTTTTGTCGATGTCTATTGTGAATTCTAAAAATACGGTCGGGGAGGGTAGTCATTTTTGTGACCAATTTGTTTTTTAATGTCCAATTCTTTGTTGAAATCTGAAAAATCCATTGGAATGTTGAAGAGTCTATGAAAGAGGGAGTTGAAAGCAGCTAATTTGTGGGATATGGGATGACAAAAAAAAAGCGATTAGTGTCTGAGTCGGTTTTTGATAGATGGAGAAGGTGAATTCATTCAGTGAGTCTAGGAATAGGAGAGAATTGACAACTGCTAATTCCATGGTGAAGTGGATAGCCGGGTATAAGTTATTCAAAAACTTCAAAAGAAGATTCACTTCATCTAAAGAACCGTCAAAAAGTAACAAACAATCATCTACATATCTGTACCAGACACAGATTTAGTGAAATAAATGGAAATTATTGGGTTTGTTTCATATTTTTCAGGATTTTTAATTCCATGGTGTATCCATGAAACAAGTCAAGATGCCAATGATCATAGTGTACCTATTCTGATTCTGGCTCATTACTGTGATAAAAAACGTCTGGATAATCAGGAGTAATATTTTATCTCGCGTTCGATTGAAAAGAGAAGGAGCCAAAGTCTGAAGTAGTGCACTTACAAATACAAAACTCATTCTAGATGTTTCCAGCTTTCTGCATGGGACACTTAATCCACTCCGGACTCATCTTGGGATATCAGTTCGTTTTCCTCAGTGCTGGTAACAACAGATTTTATGAGTGTGCATCAGCTCCCACATTGATATTGGACTTTATATATCCTCTGTATTCTTTCTTGCTGCTTTTTTTCATCTACAAGTATTCGAACGTAAGTACCCATATGAGTTTTCTTCGTTATATATAGGGTCTCATCGAATATTATTCAATTCCGAGCATTTCGAATCGAATTTCATCATTTTTCTCAAAAGAATATGGACCTCTATGGAGGAAATGATCTATAACAGTCAACTAGTTTGAGTTACTGATTTAAAATGATGAAATGGGGGCTGGAAGAGATTGAGAACCGCTGCCCTAATGTACATTACTGGAAAATGTAAAAAACTTCACGAACGATAAGATTTTCACAAATTTCTTAATCACACAACATGTTTCGGTAGCACAGTGGCTTCGTCAGGTGATATACTGGTACAATGAACTGAACTGAACTGAAGTTGGCTTGCTCAACTTGTATATATCTTACTTTCCCAACTTGAAGGATTAGTTACCTGTGGACAGGTTCCATAAACCTCCATTTTCGGAAATTAGGCACAATATCATCATTAAACTACGGTGTACCGGATGAACTTGAAGAGGGTTGATAGCAAATAAATATTATCACCTACTAAGAAAACAAATTCAACAGTGGTGAACTATTGAGGTCTAATTGATCGTTAAGAAAAATGTAAAAATTCTTGAGTTTGTTGATTTCTAATGATTCAAAATAATCGAGTTCCAGTAGAATTTCGAAATTTTCATTAGAACAATGGTTTTCTCCTAATATATGGTTGGCGTATGTTGAATTCGTTTACTTTTTCAAAAAAATCATCTTATGTTCATGAATGCGCTGGTTGAACGTACGACCTGTCTGACCGATATATTATTATACCTTAAGACAAGATCAACAGTTGAGTTTTTATACCCCTTATTTTTCGAATTAAGAAGTCTCGCTGTTCGTTGAATGAACGAGTCTTTGGAAAGAGATGTTCTGCAGGTCACCAAAGTGACCACGAAGGGGTGCGAGGCCTCAACTCGACGGGTTAAACTCGCGGGGACTGCAAAGGGCAGAACAATTGTTGATATTTCAGAAGAGCATCGTCCATGAAAATATCAATAAAATAAAGCCAGATCGCCAACTTCTCTACGGTGTTCCAGAGAAGTGAGTGAGTTTGTGAGCGAGGCTTCACCCACGAGACGAATGGCCGTTTCTTGGACAGAATCCAACAGTTTCAGGGTATTTTTGGGTGCTGCACTCCAAATATGGGAACAGTATTCCAGGACAGATCGAATCTGTGTTTTATTGATCATAAGCAGCTGACTGGAAGTGAAATAACTCCTGGCCCGAAACAGAAAACCAAGTTCTTGGGAGGTACTTTTAGCAATTGATCTCACGTGATTTTCACAAGATGGGTTATTGCTGATAGTCATACCAAGCATCGAAATGGATGTCTTCAGAGGTATGGTTACTCCTGACAAGCTTATGTTGGGCACAGTGTGATCGGCTTTTCTAGAGAAAAGGCATGCTTGCGTTTTTTATTTTTTAAGTTATTGGATCTCCATTCGAGAATTGTTGCCAAGTCCATATTTATGTTGTCAACATCTGTCCCTCGTTCGTTTCTGATTTGCCTGGCTGGTATTGGAGCCCTGGAAGAGAAGGCGGTATGGATGGTACTATCATCCGCGAAGCTGTGTACTGGACATGAAGTTGCTTCCAACAATCCGTTGATATGGAGTAGAAATAGTGTTGGGACTAGAATTGATCCTTGCGGAACACCAGCTATATGCTTCTCTTAAGTCCTGTTTATGTAGAAATGAAGCTAATTATTCAGTTGATGATCCGAAATAGGTGAAAGTTCTATAATTTTGATTATTATTCTTGATGGTAGGATGAACTTCTTGAATACCTTTATTATGAAGTTTTTTAGAAAGAAAGAATATTACTGGATACTGAGAGGATTTCGAGAGTCACTCTGTATGATTGTGTTCGAACAGAATTCATTTCAGTATACATAAGTTGAATAAAACTTGTTTTATGAAAATGAAGAAATGATTCTGTCTTGTTCTGACTCACCAGGAACAAGGTATCCGAATATCAAAGTCGCCTTTTACGATGCAGAGGTACTTTCGGTTTAAATTCGGCGTGTCTGGAGATTTTTCATGAAAATGTATGATTCTTAGTTGTTATCCTGGCAGCACCTTGGCGCCCAGTTTGGATTGTTCCACTGTGAGCCGAAGATCCCGCTCTTCCTAACCCCGCACTTTGAGTCTTTATTTTTTAATCGAGAGAGCGATTTCCTCGAGGGTATGCTGTGTGTAAAATGTTCACAATGTCACTTTCTATACTGCTTTTTTTTGTGTATGATGAGTAAAGACGGAATAGAGTTCCTGTTTCTCCTGCTATACAGGGTGTTTCATAATTGAATGCTGATCCTAAAGGGCGATAATCCTTAGATGATTTTAAGAATATTTCTCCATGTGAACATAGGTCCGTAACAGCTCCGTTTCTGAGATACAAGATGTTGAAATTTAACAAAAAATCAGTTATTCCCCAATATCTCTGAAACCGCTCTGGCTTTTTTCTTCATTACAAAAACTCAATAATAAATACCATAAAATAATAAAAATATTGCTTAGATCTCTTGGTTACCACAATTGTAAAATTATGACTGAGAGTAAAAATCGAATAGGAACAAGCAAATGAATGCATTTTATTTTCTAACTCAAAAACCGTTTGCCGGACGGAAAAAAGACATTTCTATGAGAAAATAGAGGATAATTACAAAAATAATATTCATTTGGAAAAAAAAACAGTGGCGTATCATTATTTTGATGAAAAATATGACAGGGTTTGTTAACAGGACGCCACTGATGGAAATTGAGAAATCCTTTATTATGGAAAAATGTATTTCTATTCATAATTGGCATGTACCAAAATTGAAGAAAAAAGCCAGAGCGGTTTCAGAGATATTGGGAAATACCTGATTTTTTTGTTAAATTTCAACATCCTGTATCTCAGAAACGAAGCTGTTACGGACCTATGTTCACATGAAGAATTTTTCTTAAAATAGTCCAAGGATTATCGCCCTTTAGGATCAGCATTCAATTATGAAACACCCTGTATATAAAGAGAAGCAGCGTTAAACGGAATAATTTGTAATATTGTAAATATTGACTAGTTGCCTCGAAAAAAAAGATGTTTTTCACCTGAATGTTTTTTCCTTGAAAACAAAAAATAATTTTTGATCTGAGGAGAATTGTCTTTGCCTGCAGGTGATAATTAACAGGAATGCGGTACTCGCCAGATTTGGAATAATGCATTGCTTATCGTCAAGTATCTGCTTCTGGATATGGACTATTTGCAGAGAAGTATTGGAGGCGATCGCTAGCAAGAAATATGACACCTATGCAGATTCAGTGATTGCTACGGAAGTACCTGATATAGATTTAGAGACTGATTCAGTACATATCTCGCCAAGACGGTTCACACAGATATGCGATAATGAGAAAGGGAGCATGAAAACGATCTATAAGGATATTTCTCCATATTTGTACCCATTCAGCGTGGAATTCAGTATTCTTGTGGGTGAGTTCTAGTTCTCTACAAATTGAGTTTTATGTATTGTACGGTTTGATGAGCCACCAAAAATAAACGAACTCATCTCTAATGCCATTCTCTCGTAATGCAATGAAGGAATGAGTGATATGAACATATTTATAATGGTATACCCACTTTGAGTATTATGTTGATGATGATGTAAATGAATTAGATTGACAGTTTGTAACACTGGAGCACAGAACTATCATAGGATTATTTGATTTCATAATTTTGTGAGGCATACTTGATATTTCTAAATTTCCCGAATCATAAGCTTTGGACAATTTGAAAAATATTACATTAGTGTCAACAAAATCCATGACACAAGTTCACAAGAACTCCAAGAGTCTCCTACTACTTCTCGAGTGAATTAATAATTAGAATAAAACTTGCATGTCGATTTGCTTTCATGAGTTATACTTCTGTTTCACATGATAATATATAAGTATCCATGGTTTAGAGAAGGTCTGGGAAAAATGGACGTCGACAGGACGTCCCTGCAACGTCATGAAACTGACGTCTTCTTTTACCCATCTGAGTGACGTTCACTCGACGTCGAAACGATGACGTGAATATCACGTCATAGGAAGTACGTCATAGTGACGTCATAAATTGGTGTGTGACGTCTCTGACGAAAAATCACCAATTAGGGACGTCACAGTGACGTGATCATACGTCATCTGGTTGCCTGGGAGGTGATCATATTTTTCTAGTGAGTCAGAATAAAAATGGCTAACTGGCTAGATGCAATTTTTAGTAGCTAGATGAGTTCAAAAATGGTTAGAACTTGCTATAAAATGACTGAGTTGGCAGTGGTGGCTGAGTTCATCTTTAATATTTATTGCAGTAGGAGTATTGTACCTGGTTTGGCAGAATATTGCAATATGCGAGGCAGCAGACGAGGACGAAGCTGCGACGACACAGTGCAAAAAGACGCTTTCTAATGACGTAGACAGTACTGAGAGCAACGTGGCTATACACGCCGACTGTCAGGCGTCCAACAAGGGTCTATTCGGAGGCATAGTCGTGCTGGTGTTGGTATTCGTCGCCTGCATTTTGTTTTTCATGGTCTATTATATGGATGACGAGTGAGTAGCCTAGATTATCAAGCTTCATTGGCCCTTCTAACACAGCACATGTACAGGCTGTCCCATTTTCGTTGTCCTTATATACGGGATATCTCACTCATTTTCGAAGATACTCATTTTCAAAGATACGATTTACGGTTTTCACGAACGTTTACTACTTTTTTGTGAAACTCACGATACCGCAAATAAAATTGTCAGAGGGAGAAATTGAAAATGTTTCATTTTGAGACCCCCCTGTATCTCAGTTATCTCACAACTTATCGAGGAAATAAAAAATGTCATTCACACATTTTCTCACGTAAAATCCAGTTGCGTTGTCAGCCTTTTGAAATACGCTGTATTTATGCAGATATAACGCAAAGTTATGTTTTTTAAAATGAAACAACCTGTATATTTTTTCATATTTGAAACGATGATGCTTTGTGCTTACTAAAAATGTATGAAACTCATGATAATTCGAGTATGAACCATGAAATTAGGTAGATTCTAATTTTTATGTATATGTGGCAACATTGCCCATATCACAAATTTTCATATTCACCCTGTTGACGTCCAGAAAACAACTTTGAACGTACATTGAGTTTCTATCGTATGTCCATTTTGAGTGAATTGAATGTCCAGAAAACATCCAAATAACAACCACTGTGGATATTTTCTGGATATCCAATGTACATCCATTGTATGTACATCTGAATCAATCCACAGGATACAGATACAACGTCTCTTGCAAATAATGGGTAAACATTTGGAAACATTCGCAATTCATAAAAAAAATGGGTTCAGAAGTTCTATAAATATACCAATCGAATCGTACATAAAAAATTGCTGAAATTGCAGCGTATTTCAGTTAGTTCTGATTTCTTGATAATTATATTGTTAGGACCAGTTGAGGTATTTTATGGAAAACCCATCAAGTTTGCAGTTTCGAAAAACCTATGCTCGATACATTTGAAAGAAATTTTTACTTTTATTTCAGGAATGATGCAGAATTGGGAATAACAGCAACATTATCCACATCTATTTTCGTATTATCTGCGATGATCATCGCTTGCATTTTTGGATATCGACAGATAACGAAACTGGATTTGAATTCTGCTCATCACAATCTGCTAGACGACGTTCTCTTGTTCATCTGTATGCCTGCCTTCTTCCTCAATGGTGTATTCAGTTTGATAGCATCTATCGAGTATTCCAACGTCATTGGAATACTCAATATAGTTGTAGAGGTTGGTATTCTATATTATGGCATATATTCTACAGGGCGATACTGAATCAAGCACTGCCACTGTATTGCCTCGTCCAGTGTGCAATGATAGCGGGTTGATATTCCGTGTTTATTGGCAATCGAGTTGAATAGTTTCAATATGATCAGTACCTATCAAGTATTTCGTAAGAATACATCATTCTATTGATATCGAAACCGTTTTGTCTGTTGATATGTATATTTGTTATTCAGTTCTTAATTGTGTTGCATGACATGATTTGACTCATGGTTGATATTTCACTCGTTCAAACACGAAATGGACTTGCAGAGTTTTTAGTAAACAACCATAATGATAGCGTATGTAGATCTTTTCAGTCAAAATAGTCATGGATATACAACAGAAGCCTTCCGTAAAATGGTATGATGAACGTTCAGAAAATATGAAAAATACTTTATCTTCTCTGAGAATCATTCATACTACTCAGATTATGTATAACCGAAAATGGTGGACATTTCGAACAGCTACTTTAATTTGTTTTTTTCCTTCTTCTTCCATTCAAAATTATGTATTAATTGAAAGTACCAAAAACATTATCAAACTTTTATTTTTATTCAAATCTTGTTGGGACAGACTTATGCATGCTTATGCTATGTACTTATAGCTCAGTAACGTGGCACAGGGAGGTGATATTATCGACAAAATTAAAAACAAAATTGTTCATGGCCTGCTGAAATATCGTTATACCGATGAATCTCGCGATGAATAAAATCAATCTGCTGATATCATGTAACTACAAAAACTCAAATATCCCACGAACGGCTCAATTTTTTGTATTCGAATAAGAGTACCTTTTCCATGTAATTTTCTTTGCTCCATCAAATGCTCCTGTTTTTTTACCGAAAATAATACAGGGAAAAAAGTTTTCTACAAAAAATCATGACTCACCCTCTGGAAACACCCTTTATAACAATATCAGAAATGTGGAAGTGTGACGAAAAAATGTATTTTGACAACATACATTCATGCACAAAATTTCAATCGGGTGGCTTTCATCGTTCAGAAGTTATGCGGAGAAACTATTTCAATTTTATCCACTTTGGAAGGATATCTCCCTCAATATGCATTTTGGGCCATGAGTTTAATCATCAAACTACACTTATTTTTCAATGTTCTATCACCCCCAGAAAGCTCGGTACACATTTTTGACTCACCCTGTATATCTCATACATGTAACGTAGTTTCCATATTGGCTGTAAATAAATGTCTGAAACGGGCATGCATAAAATGTTGTATGTATTTCAGGCGTAACTTTTATATATGATCCATGAAAGCATAGTTACATGAATAACTATTTTGTGACCTATGTGAATTAATATAAAAAATTCCACTTTACGTTTCATAAATCATAAAAGTCTATTTTACGCCTTTGAATAAATAATCATTATATTTTCGTTGATTTGACACCGTATTATAGTTTTCTCATACAAAACTAGAACCGATTCGTGAAGGAACAACGAAGCTGTCCCTTATTGATTGACTGTGCATCCAAGGCTTCAAACGTGATTTATTTTCAGAACTATATTTTTCGACTTTGCATTTTCCAGATAATACAAGTTTTGATACAAACCATCTTCCTTCTTGACGGCATGAGAAGGTCCAGTAACACCAGGAAGCTAAGGAAGAAGAAACCTGGAAGAGAGCTTGTAACGTTCCTGATCATCTCCAACATAGCCTTGTGGCTGATGCAAACTTTTGAAGTGAAGGCCCATGGTATCCAAGACAACAGATACAGCTTCTACGGCAAAGAGATGTGGACGATTCTAGGACATCTATGTTTGCCGTTGATGATGTTTTACAGATTCCACTCTTCGGTTTGTTTCGGGGATATCTGGAAGTACGCCTATGAACCGTCAGGGCACTAAAGATTGATTGATTCCTACTAGCATCAGAACCAGGACCATCAGAACCAATGTAGATGTCTCTAATGATCATTGATATTTCAAAATCGTGTCATAAATGTTCCTTCGATCTTTTTTTCACTCTGAAAAAAGTAATTTCTGAAAATTGTGTACAGTGGGTTGATATTCACTGATCACCTCCGTAATTGTCGTCAATTATGTCTCAATGAAATAATTCATTCCAACAAGATTTATATCAGAATATTCATTTTTTATAATCAACACAATGTATTCTACAAGCTGTTCGATCAATACTCATTAAATATTGAGAACCTCATGTGATAAACATGCATTTTGATTATATCAAGATTTTCCTTATACCAAGTGACCCAGAACCAATTAACTCCCCATGTATCTTTGTTGCTATTTTGAATGGATGTTTCGAATTTGGTACATTGATTTGATTGCATGAGGACATAATTTTGCTAGTAAATCAGACGCAATATGACACTTCTGGTTTGACCGGCTATTATATTGAATTTGATTTATGAGTTTGGAATCATTATTGAAACTGCAGAATCTGACGCAATAAAATATTCAATTTGATAATTTTCCTACAAGTTAAGAGGGAATACAATGAGTGATTTTTTATAAAATCCTAATAATATGAGTGGACTGTTAATTGAAAGAATGATTGAGATATATCGTTGGAGAAGTCACTTTATAATCGTAATTTTCATAAAAAAGTGTCATATTTGGCCTGATACTAGCCAAATGATACATTCATGAAATCAAATCGATTCACCTTTTCAGGCATTTTTGCAATTTTCAGGAATTTTTGCAATTTTTGCAATTTTCAGGCATTTTTGCAAGTTTCAAAAATTCCTGAAAATTGCAAAAATTGCAAATATTCCGGAAAATTGCAAAAATTTCTGGAAATTGCAAAAATTGCTAAAATTCCTGAAAATTGCAAAAATTGTAAAAATTCCTGAAAATTGCAGAAATTGCAAAAATTGCAAAAATTCCTGAAAATTGCAGATTGCAGAAATTCCAGAAGATTGCAAAAATCGCAAAAATTCCTGAAAATTGTGAAAATTGCAAAAATTCCTAAGAATTGCAAAAATTGTGAAAATTCCTGAAAAATGCAAAATTTCCTGGAAGTTGCAAAAATTGCAGAAATTGCAAACATTCGAAAGTTGCAGAAATTGCTGAAATTCCGGAAAATTGTAAAAATTCTTGAAAATTGCAAAAATCGTAAATTGCCTGAAAATTGCGAAAATCGCAAAAATGACTAAAAATTGCAAAAAAGGCAAAAATCCCTGAAGATTGCGATGATTGCAAAATTTCCGGATAATTGAAAAAATTGCAAAATTTCCGGATAATTGTAAAAATTGCAAAAATTCCTGAAAATTGCAGGAATTGCAAAACTTCCTAAAAATTGCAAATATTGTAAAAATTTATGAAAATCGCAAAATTTCTTGAAAGATGCAAAAATTGCAAAAATTCCTGGAAATTGCAGAAATTGCGAAAATTTCTGAAAATTGCAGAAATTGCAAAAATTCCTGAAAATTCCTGGAAATTGCAAAAATTGCAAAATTTCCTGAAAATTGAAGAAATTGCAAATATTCCTGAAAATTGCGAAAATTGCAAGAATTCCTGAAAATTGCAAAAATTGCAGAATTTCCTGAAAATTGCTTGAATTGCAAAAATTCCTGAAAATTGCAGAAATTGCAAAAATTCCTGAAAATTGCAAAAATTGCAGAAATCGCAAAAATGCCTAAGAATCGCAAAGATTGCAAAAATTCCTGAAAATTGCAGAAATCGCAAAAATGCCTGAAAATTGAAAAGATTGCAAAAGTGCCTGAAAATTGCAAAAATTCCTGAAAATTGCAAAAATTGCGAAATTTACTGAAAATTGCTAAAATTGCAGAAATTCCTGAAAATTGCAGAAATCGCAAAAATGCCTGAAAATTGAAAAAATCGCAAAAATGCCTGAAAATTGCAGAAATTGCAACAATTGCAAGAATTCCTGAAAATTGCAGAGATTGCAGAAATTCCAGAAGATTGCAAAAACTGCAAAAATTCTGGAAAATTGTAAAAATTCTTGCAAAAATCGCAAAATGCCTGAAAATTGCAAAAATCGCAGAAATGCCTGAAAATTGCAGGGATCGCTGAAAATTGCAAAAATTCCTGAAAATTGTAGAATTTTCTAAAAATTCCTGAGAATTGAAAAAATCGCAAAAATGCCTATAAATTGCAAAAATCGCCAAAACTCCTGAAAATTGCAGAAATACCAAGAATTGCAAAAGTACCTGAAAATTGTGAAAATCGCAAAAATTCCTGAAACTTGTAAAAGTTGCAAAAATCGCTGAAATTCCTGAAAATTGCAAAAATCACAAGAATGCCTGAAAATTGTCAAAATCGCAAAAATGCCTGAAAATTGCAAAAATTGCAAAAATTCCTGAAAATTGCACAAATTGCAAAAATCGCTAAAATTCCTGAAAATTGCAAAAATCGCAAAAATAACTGGAATTTGCAAAAATCGCAAAAATGCCTGAAAATTGCAAAAATCACAAAAATGCCTGAAAATTGAAAAAATCGCAAAAATGCCTGGAAATTGCCAAAATTCCTGAAAATTGCAAAAATTGCAAAATTTCCTGACAATCGCTAAAATTGCGAAAATTCCTGAAAATTGCAGAAATTCCTGAAAATTAGAAAAATTTCTGAAAATTGCAAAAATCGCAAATATTCCTGAAAATTGCAAAAATTGCAAAAATTCCTGGAAATTGCAAAATTTGCAAAAATCGCAAAAATAACTGAAAATTGCAGAAATCGCAGAAATGCCTGAAAATTGCAAAAATCACAAAAATGCCTGAAAATTGAAAAAATCGAAAAAATGCCTGAAAATTGCAAAAATTCCTGAAAATTGCAAGAATTGCAAAATTTCCTGAAAATTGATAAAATTGCGAAAATTCCTGAAAATTGCAGAAATTGCAAAAATTGCTGAAAATTGCAAAAATTGCAGAAATTCCTGAAAATTGCAAAAGTTGCAAAAATTCCTGAAAATTGTAAGAATTCCTGAAAATTGCAGAAATTGCAAAAATTGCTGAAAATTGCAAAAATTGCAGAAATTCCTGAAAATTGCAAAAATTGCAGAAATTCCTGAAAATAGCAAAAATTCCGGAAAATTGTAAGAATTCCTGAAAATTGCAAAAATCGCAAAAATTCCCGAAAATTGCAAAAAACGCAAAAATTCCTGAAAATTGCAAAAAACGCAAAAATGCCTGAAAATTGCAAAAATTGCAGAAATCGCAAAAATGCCTAAGAATCGCAAAGATTGCAAAAATTCCTGAAAATTGCAGAAATCGCAAAAATGCCTGAAAATTGAAAAGATTGCAAAAGTGCCTGAAAATTGCAAAAATTCCTGAAAATTGCAAAAATTGCGAAATTTACTGAAAATTGCTAAAATTGCAGAAATTCCTGAAAATTGCAGAAATCGCAAAAATGCCTGAAAATTGAAAAAATCGCAAAAATGCCTGAAAATTGCAGAAATTGCAACAATTGCAAGAATTCCTGAAAATTGCAGAGATTGCAGAAATTCCAGAAGATTGCAAAAACTGCAAAAATTCTGGAAAATTGTAAAAATTCTTGCAAAAATCGCAAAATGCCTGAAAATTGCAAAAATCGCAGAAATGCCTGAAAATTGCAGGGATCGCTGAAAATTGCAAAAATTCCTGAAAATTGTAGAATTTTCTAAAAATTCCTGAGAATTGAAAAAATCGCAAAAATGCCTATAAATTGCAAAAATCGCCAAAACTCCTGAAAATTGCAGAAATACCAAGAATTGCAAAAGTACCTGAAAATTGTGAAAATCGCAAAAATTCCTGAAACTTGTAAAAGTTGCAAAAATCGCTGAAATTCCTGAAAATTGCAAAAATCACAAGAATGCCTGAAAATTGTCAAAATCGCAAAAATGCCTGAAAATTGCAAAAATTGCAAAAATTCCTGAAAATTGCACAAATTGCAAAAATCGCTAAAATTCCTGAAAATTGCAAAAATCGCAAAAATAACTGGAATTTGCAAAAATCGCAAAAATGCCTGAAAATTGCAAAAATCACAAAAATGCCTGAAAATTGAAAAAATCGCAAAAATGCCTGGAAATTGCCAAAATTCCTGAAAATTGCAAAAATTGCAAAATTTCCTGACAATCGCTAAAATTGCGAAAATTCCTGAAAATTGCAGAAATTCCTGAAAATTAGAAAAATTTCTGAAAATTGCAAAAATCGCAAATATTCCTGAAAATTGCAAAAATTGCAAAAATTCCTGGAAATTGCAAAATTTGCAAAAATCGCAAAAATAACTGAAAATTGCAGAAATCGCAGAAATGCCTGAAAATTGCAAAAATCACAAAAATGCCTGAAAATTGAAAAAATCGAAAAAATGCCTGAAAATTGCAAAAATTCCTGAAAATTGCAAGAATTGCAAAATTTCCTGAAAATTGATAAAATTGCGAAAATTCCTGAAAATTGCAGAAATTGCAAAAATTGCTGAAAATTGCAAAAATTGCAGAAATTCCTGAAAATTGCAAAAGTTGCAAAAATTCCTGAAAATTGTAAGAATTCCTGAAAATTGCAGAAATTGCAAAAATTGCTGAAAATTGCAAAAATTGCAGAAATTCCTGAAAATTGCAAAAATTGCAGAAATTCCTGAAAATAGCAAAAATTCCGGAAAATTGTAAGAATTCCTGAAAATTGCAAAAATCGCAAAAATTCCCGAAAATTGCAAAAAACGCAAAAATTCCTGAAAATTGCAAAAAACGCAAAAATGCCTGAAAATTCCAAAAATCCCTGAAAATTGCAATAATTGCAAAAACTCCGGAAAATTGTAAAAATTCCTAAAAATTCCTGAAAATTGCAAAAATCGCAAAAATGACTGAAAATTGAGGATGGAGTGATCCAATGGATCAGATATCATGGCGTGTGTCATTTAAACGAATTATGCATGAATGAATTCGTTAATAGTATGAAGAAAATCGTTACCGATAATAATGCGCGCGTCAAAATAAGGGTTTGCTATATATCTCGCTCCAGCAAATTTCATGATCCAAACCAAACGATTACGTAGTATACGGGAGTGTTTCCATGAAAAGTGAGACAAAAATGGATTTCTCAGAACTGAAAAAATTCCTGGAAAAATATGAATAGTTAGTGAATTGGGCGTCCTGAGCAGTGTAAATCACTGAAGATGACCCCACTTGGTCATAAAGTGCATTTTTGGTATATCTTCCACTCCAACAAATTTCAGGATCATCACCCGACGATTACGTATCGTTTTTTTAAATATAAATAACCCACTATGTAACCTACTTCATTCTGTTTACTATGCAATTATTGATAATATCCCAAAGCGGTTATTATAATATATAAAAACAACGAGTAATCTTTAGTGCTTTTAAACATGTCGCTATTTCTTCTAGTGTTGGTGTTAACGTTGATTTGTATTTTTGTGAAGAAGAATTTGAGTTATTGGGTTGAGAGAGGAGTACCTGGTCCTCAACCCTTACCTATAGTGGGTAACATTGGTAGAAATATCTTGGGAAAGGTGTCACAAGGACAAATATTCACAGATATATACAGGCAAGAACTGACAACAATAATATAGAGTGCTTTTGTAAAAGATTGGAATGTTTAATTTTTTGCCGTACTATTCATTCATCAGGAATTCTGGAACATGTCCATTCCCAATTTGCCACATTTATGAGGGTGATCCATGTTAGAGTAATCACATCCGTGAAAAATTTCTCAAATGATGCACCCTATTTATTATTCAATTATTTGTAAGCTGAATTAAAAGAATATCACACATAGGGATTGTATAGGTTAAGTGCGTCCGTTGAATTCAGAGCATACCTAACACCATTGATTCATAACGTTCCCAACATGAGAAATTGAATTCTGCTCCCCATGGCTATACTGAATTTTTCCACTCATATTATGATTTTGTTTTTGGGGATGTGGATTGACTTTACCTAAGAAGTAGTGTTTGCTAATAAATATCCTTGGGAATAACATCCTAAGAAGTAGGTCACACTTCTTCCAGGTCCAAAGTATCATCAATTCAACATTGATTATTTATTATTCGTAATTACTGATATTGATAGTGCATGAATATAACGTCAGCAATATGAACAAAATATCTAATTAGATGAGAGTGAAAGAAAGTGTTTGCGATATGGGATTCACGTAACTCACAAACTTTGGCTGCTTTAAAGTACCCACTGATATCCCTCATAGTATGAATATTTATCTTGCTCCCACTGGAAGATAACATCAGAAACAATTGACATCATCATCATCAGCATCATCCCTTGTTTCTGAAATAATCTTGATTTGATTTTTATCTTTGATGTAACTCCACACCATCGATTCATAACGTTCTCAACCAGATAAATTTAATCTTGCTCCCCATGGTTGTACTGAATTTTTCTACTCCTTCTATGATTTTGTTTCTGGGGATGTGGATAAACTCCACCTAAGAAGTAGTGTTAACTATTGAATATCCTTGGGAACAACATCCTTAGAGAAGTAGGTCACAATTTTTTCTGGTCTAAAGTAGCATCTATCCAACATTGATTGTTGATTATTCGTTTACTGATATCAATGGTGTATATGACGTCAGAAATATAAACAGTTTATCTAAGTAGAGTGAAAGAGAGTTTTTGCGATATGGGATTAATGGAATTCACAAACTTTGGCTGCTGCAAAGTACCTACTTATATCCCCTATAGTATGAATATTTATCTCGCTTCCTCTAGTAGATAACAAGCCTGATCACCCTTGATCTTGGTCTTGGTCTCGAAAAATAAATGAAGTCTTGGTCTTAGTATTAATCTCAATATTTCAAGACCGAGACAAGACTGGCTCAGTCTTGGTCTTGGTGTTGATAGTCTTGGTCTTGGATCAGAATGCGCCTTGAAATTTGAATTACTCAATTCAAATATCCAACAGTTTACATGCATATAATAGGTATTTCGTATTTCTTAATCTTCGAAATTGTCAATTTGTACGAATGAAGTAAGCGATATTAATTTCTTCTTTTACCAAAATAATGTAATTTTAAGAGAACATTAAATTAACATTATATGAGACTCAAACAGCGAACAGGCCGACGCACGACAGGCCGGAAAAAAGTTTCCAAAGGGTCGGAACTGACAACAACGCACTATCAAAATATCCCGAAAAATTTCGAATTCGAATCGAATAACTTCTGTTTCAAATTTGTTTTCATCTTCAATAGGAGGAGCTACGGACCACTGTTACCTTACAACATACACCTATCTGTTTTAAACTTTAAAACTGCAATACTGAATTCAAAAAATGTATTCCAGATTTTGAGTGAACAAAATTTGAAAACCTACTATATGACAAACGAATAACTGAAATAATATGCCATTACATTTTCAATCAGATTTTTCTAAATATTGAGTCGATTCAAGTTCATTATTTTCCTTTCAAGTCCAAGACCAAGATTTTTGGCAGAGAGTCTTGGTCTCTTTCTCGAAAGTCAACTCTTGGTCTTGGTTTTGGGAAGAATTTTCAGTCTTTGGTCTCGCAAAGCCCTAATTGAGATAATCATCATCATCATCCCATGTATCTGAAATAATCTCAATTTGATTTTCATTTTGAATGTACCTCTTCCGATAGCTCTCAGCGTCTTTTTATTTTGAAACTTCTATATATTGATGGAATATGTGTTATAGTAGCGAAAGCTTACCACGGGAGAAAGGGGTATTTTTCTCTCGCTCACTTTTTTCTCATGATGCTTAAACATTCTGAAAAAGATTACAGCTCGGCTGAGAAAAATTTCTTCTGCACCTTGGTATCTAATTACTATTAATTCATAGAACCTACCAGGAATATTCGTTTGTTGGAATCTTCAGAGGAACTGTTCCATATTTACTTGTGAGAGATCCAGACTTTATCAGGAATATAATAGTCAAAGACTTCAAGCACTTTCAAGAAAACAACGTTGCAGTAAATGAAGACGTGGATCCTATTTTTGCAAGAAATCCGTTCGTCATCAAGGACATCGCAGTATGGAAATTGAAGAGGGCACAGCTGATATCCTGTTTCTCATCTGGAAAAGTGAGGATGATCAACACAATCATACACAGGGTGATTCATTAGGAATGAAAAATCTCTTTACTACAGATGAACACTAAAATATTGAGATTTAGCCTAACATACCTCATAATAATGTTAAGATTTCCACAAAATTCACACAGTAGCTTCATCAGGTGATATACTGATACAATGAACTATACTAACCGTGGCTTGCTTAACTTTTATATATCCTACTTTCCCAACTTGAAGGATTAGTTACCTGTTGACATGTTCGAGAAACCTTCATGTTCGAAAATAGTTTCTGAATCAAGTTTCAAGTTTCAAGTCTATTCTCAGTAATATTATACAAAATCATTCCATATTACATTGTTCATTTTACAACCCTTTGTGGAGAGATGAATGCTCCTAAGCAATTCATTTGCTTGTGTTGTGCTCTCCATCCCCCACTAAAGGCATTCGAAAGTTGCCTACGTGATAAACACATGAACGAAATTAGGAGATTTTTGAAAAATGAAAAATGACACCCAAGTCAACCCACAATTCACACCAAAGAGAAAACTAATGAAAGAGAGAACAATGAGAATTGGCTAAACATCCTGTAACTTCAACTAATTTTGAAATCATAAGTGATACTTACTGAATTACAAGTTATGCTTTCTGAATTACAGTTGACGGTTTCTGAATTACATTTCACTAATCTAAATTACATATTACGCTTTCTGAATTACAATTAACTTATCTGAATTTTAAGTTATACTTTCTGAATCACAATTAACTATTCTAAATCACAACTTATACTTCCTAAATTACATCTTATACTTTCTGAATTACAATTGAAAAAGGTGTAGTCCAACCAATATTTTTTTTTGATCAACGTATTTTCCGTTCAATCTGTGTTCATACAGGTTATAAAAATATTAGTCGTAATAGGAAAGTTTAGTTCCTGTCTAGGTATAAGTGTCATTGGATTTTAAATGAATGTTTTTCATTGAGAATAATCATTATGTTCAAATTCAGATAGATGGAAATTTGATTAGAATTCAGTATATGACAGTAGTTTGAACCATATGAATGATTTTCATCATACCTCTTCTCTCACAAATCCTTCCTCAACATTTCTTTTCCATTCCAGATGAAGAGGTATTATCCCTTATTGGAAGAGTCTGCAATGAAGATGATCAAATACATAGAAAACCAGTTAAGGACCTCTGCACCTTTAGAATGCAGAGAGCTCAGTGTACGTTTCAGTCTAGAAAGTGTAGCTTCTTGTGTTTTCGGTATAGATGGCAAATGTTTTGAAGAGGATTACCCAAAATTCAGAGAAATGGCCGATGAAGTTCTTTCGCCTAGAGGTCTGCTACGTGGCTTGAAACTTACATTGATATTGTCCTGGCCATCATTAGCAAAACCTTTGAAGATGAAGTGAGTATTTCTAGCGAAATTTCTGGTATTACCCAACCGTTAAACCCAGATATGCCTAGATTGCCTAGATCTCGATATTTCCTCTGATTAAGGTCCAAATAAAAGAAGTATTATTATGGATTTTATAATTTTCATTTATTCAGAGTCACTAGATTCTGGCTATCCTACATTTAGGACATTGAGCACATAGAGATGAAAATTGAAACTGGTTATGTTATTTGATAATACATGATGAAACACTTTGTGTGGCGTCCAGCGTTACATTTTGAGCACCTCGTAATAGTTCCTTGAAGATACAAGGCGAGTCGAGTTAGGTTGACTTGTGGAATCAAAAAATGATCAAGTCGGTCATATCATTTATCATTATCTTCTCTTCCGAATGGGTAAGTTTTTTATATTGAGGTTCTCATCTCACTGTGAAGTTCGTAGAAAATTAAAATAAAAATATAAAAAACAAATAAAGGGGGAACTTGGCTCCTCCACCATTCCTATGTTCTGAAAATCCACATTCACACAGAGTGAGAATACGATTCCCTGTGCCAGTACGACGTTGCCGATTTCATCAATATGTCTGGATCTCTCATTGGCTGAATGAATTTGATTATATAAATTATTCTATTTTGCGATATTTTCCATAATTTTTCACTATCGTTATATTGCAATATGTTATTTATAACTTGTCAGTCATTTATTTGCCAATGAATTCGTTCGTTGATAAAACGGATCTATTTTCTAGGAAAATTGCAGATTATATCTTGCAACAGCGCCTGATACTTCGAGTCCATTCACACCACTCAAAATACTGACAGGCACAACAAGAGGAAGGAGCCGTGGGTGTCGGCTTCATTCTGTTCTGACCGATGACAGTTAAATAGGAAGGATAGTACAATTGAATGTAGCCGATAGTGATTCATTGATTCAATGATATTTTCGCTTAGGATGGAGCTCTATTCGGGATATTTCAATGCATAAATAACAAAACCATAACCTGTCAGAATGAAGCCAACTACCCTCTGCATTCCTGCTCCGAGTGCATTTGTGATTATGTATGTTTTTATTTGCCAGTTTTACTTCTTCTTTCGCTAGCTATATTTTTCACCATCAGCTATTCTCAGAATATATTCAGAATGTACGTTACAGTTTGCCGTACCGAAAATTAAAAATTGCTTCAATTTGAAAACGAAAACGACTTGGACTTCATTGGTCGCCATTCCGTACAGAGTGGACATAAAACTGGAGAGTCCTGAACTTATTTTATGAAAATTCATCAGGAGGAAACTTCCCCATTGTCTTTGGACATTGCATCAGTGACTAACCCAATTTTTCCTCCTTTTTCTCTTTCCCGATATATTCTTCTATCTGGAACTCGAAGATGTCAACTGATATTCAAGTCTCAGACTTATAGATTTTGCCCTTTTTGTTGATCATACAATGTCATACATGTTAGTTCCTTGAAATATCTGTTCAAAAATAGGTTCGCCAAAGAATTTTGAGAATAATTCGAGTGGGCCCATAGAATATGGTTCTTCATTATCAAAAGCCTTCTCAAAATCGGATTTTGTAGTGGGCAAATCTACAACCAATAGTTCATTTTCCTTCTTTTATATCTACTTTCTTGAATTTCTTCTTCATCCTGTGAAGGAAAACTATCATCAAAGCCAACTTGACTTTCAATGTGTCGAAAGTGCAACTCAACTAGATCGCGAAATTCAGATTCTGTAAACTCGTTCATTGAAGATTGTTCTCGCCTGAATCGTCATCTGTTATTACCATAAACAAGCTTTTGAAGCTTTGCTGTGAAATCCTGATGATTCTAATTATGTTCACTAAAATGAAGGTATATAGTCTACCCAAAACTGAGTCATCTCGCTAGATTCTATTGAAAAACATTCCAAAACTGATTTCGTGTCGCATATTGAAAAAAAAAAGGTGTAGACGATGAGATAGTTCTATACTTTAGACTTCTGACTCCAAAATTTTGTTGTTCTTTTTTTTCGCACTTCTGTACTTGTTGTATGGCCTCAGATCACCTAGTATCAAAGGCGCAAAGCAAATATGTGGGGTTTTCCATGCCATTATTTCCTTTGCTCTTTAGGTACCTTCATGACCATAATAAGGATTCCCTATTAGTTAAACGGTCACTGAGATACTGCTGGCAGACTCTTACTCACCTGCTAAAACTTTCAAACACACCGTAAGACATTTGCTAATTGATTTCTCCAACAATAAGATGAATTTCAACTTCCAATGTAACTATTATTGTTTGGTGATCGATATATGCATGAGACATGAGACATAAAGAATATTAGTAGCTGAATGATTCAATGTCTATCTTATTGGACTACTGATTTGCAAGAGCAGAGTATGAGTTCGCAGCTTCAGATTCTCTGGAGCATTGAAGTTTTGAAGCCCTCTCGACTCTCTGAGTAGATATACATTATTAAAGCTGTCAGGCTTCTCAGGTACAGCGATTCCTACCTGAAAGAAACGAAAGGGTGTTTTCTGCCCTGCCCTTGAATGTCTACCATTTTTGTTTCTATCAAATCGCCAGTCAAGAATACTCTTCAATAGATCCTAGGACTATGATATGGTATTCTTGTTCTTTCTAGTATCGAAATGGATTTTCTAATGGCGTGTATGCATTGTAGATTCGTTTCCAAAGAAGTAGAAGACAAATTATTTGGAACTGTGAGAATGTCTCTCAAGCTGCGCAAGGAGAACAACGTTGTAAGAAATGACTTTCTTGATTACCTCAGCCAGCTTTCGTCCAACACGGAATCATTCAGCGAAATGGATCTCATAGGACATGCAGCTAGCTTTTTCAGCGGTGGATATGAAACTACCTCAAGGGTGAGATATAGTATTCTAATCATATATCTACTATTTTTATATATGACGTATCGCCTATACGATATCTCAACAAAAATGGGACCAAAATGAGAGGTACTTTTTGAATCTATAAGGACGGAAAGTGAAGGATGGAAACTGCTGACGTGAGGATCAGATTTCAAGTTAGGTTATAGGTTCGTAAACAATTATTTGATCATAATAAAATATTAAAAATCATCCATTGTTGATAATACCACAGTATCATACCGTCAACTTCGATTTATTTCTTTATTATGTGATTGAAAAAACAGAAGAGAGCCATTGCAGATGATAATGAAATGGCCTGCGATACTAATTTTATTCAGTTCAGTACAATCTTGAAACTCACACCCTTCAATCCAACATTATAACTTCAGATCTTGCTATTGAATATTGAATATAGATCAGGGTTAACCTATAGGTACATGTATTCTTTTTCAATGTGGTGAAAGTGATCTACTCAAATCTGTTCAGCTACTTACACTACACTACACTACTTGTCATTTACTGATTCAAACTTGGATTACTTCAAGGAAATTCCCATTATATTATGCTTGTTGCTGGATGATTGATAACTCCTTTGATAATGTATATAAGTGTGTACCTTCGTGCAGGTCAATATATAAACAGGAAAATTTGTAAATTCGAACTTATGAAAAGAGGATTCCTGTATATTCTTTTCTCCGCAAATACTGCATTTCGTTCCACTAGACATGGTGAAAAAGTTCAGTCGATGAAAAATAATCGAAAACAAACACTAAGGAATGGGGAAGACCACTGATTTTTTAAAACAACATTATGGTGAACACTATACTGAAAAGCTATACCAGTGAATTTTCGAATTTTTTCATTCAAGCTAAGACGATGAAAAAAATCAATTAGACTATGTCCATTTCAAAACACACAATTCCTGCGCCATTTGACATTTTGTCAATTCATTGGTGTGACTGGTGCGACGTCTCAGTCCCAACACGCCTATTGTCCTTGAACTGACCAATCACACTGCAACACTGCAGAATGACGAGGTATCAAAGAGAGAGAGCGAGAGCTACAGTTCGGCACTAATACGTAACGTCTCCACCATAATATTTGTCTTTTTGAAATATCGGATGAAATATGCTGATTTCAAAACGATATTGATTCGATTCCCTTCAACTTCAACTCATAATATTGATTGTACATCAAACGTAAATCATGATTCGTCGATTGAAAGAGGTTTGCACGGATTTCTTTCCTCAGTGGTCATCCCCATTGTACAACTAAAAACACAGATATTCGAATTTCAATCACAATCAATCACATACGCGCTAAAACTAATTTGAAAATTTGAAATTTGTTGTCATAATGGTTCAACAAGTTTCGTATTATTGTTTCCCTACGTCGGCATCAACGCCTATTGGTCGATTTCGTTACCTATAGAGACAAAAGTTGGGGCCGCTTTGAGTATTAGATATATGATTTCAATAAACGAAAAATCTTTGCTTTAAATCTGAAGAACAAATAGGGAGGAATCGAGTAGGTACTCACATTCAGAACAATCGGAATGATAAGTATGTCTTTTTTAAGGCAATGGGTTTCTTCATATTTGAGTTGGCAATGAACCCTGAATGTCAGGACAAACTCAGACAGGAAATTATCCATTCTTATGAAGAAAACGGAAACAAATTCTCGTATGAATCAATAAATGAAATGAGATATCTAGATGCGTGCTTCAATGGTAAGAAACACAAACCAATTCTTCACACCATGACATAGTATATAATTAGATCAATATTATCGATTTTTGTTACTGCAGAAGCTATCCATTTTTTGGAATCACTGTTTGAAGATAGAAATTCACGATAACCAGTGCTTTATTGGTTTTTTTCGGACTTAGAATTGACTTGTACCGTCTTAAGTTACAGTAATCACTCCATTGGTTCACCTATAGGACTTTATTGGCGACTCTTTGGACTACTGATGACCTTGAAATCATCAAAAATTCTGATATTCAGAGCATTTTGCTTTTTAGAAAATATGAGGAAGAACGCCATTTCTCACTACATGACCAAAGTATGTACAGAGAGATACACGTTCACTCCTACCAACCCGGAATACAAGAAGATGTCGGTGACCTTGGAGCCTGGAACTCCTATCATAATCCCTCTCAGAGGATTACTCAGTGATCCAAAATACTGGAATTCGCCTGAAAAATTCGTTCCAGAGAGATTTCTAGACAGAGATAGCGTCCATAAGTTCACTTATTTGCCATTTGGGGAAGGCCCCAGAATATGTATTGGTAAGTAACAATTTTGAATCATTGCTTAGATTTCAGGACGATGCAATCCAATGTTCTGGCTGGCATATATCCAGGAAAGTAGTTGTTTTTCTCTCGTTATCTACCATTTTCGTTCATTTTATAAACTATTGTGGTAATGACTTTGAGTTTCTCTCTCTGAAATGGTATCTTGTTTTGGAGTGTTTCTTTTCTTGCCAGATGGCGTTCGGCGTTCGCGTTCATTTCGCGGACGTTGAACGCCTCGTGGGGTATAACCAGATGGCGGTCAAGAAGCTATCTGGGACAGCCTTGCAATGATGAGAGCCAACAGCTCGAAACCGGTCTGCAGGTAGTTACGCGTTCCTGAACCACTTAGGAGCAGCTCGGCGTTCAGGAAGGAAACACTTGCAATTTCATTCGTCTATACGAATTATTACAAAGATTTCGGGAGGATGTAATCCAATCTTCTGCGTGGCATATAGCATATAGCTGCGCATAACGTCATTGCGAGTCTATACTGTGATGACAATGTGAGCTCAGACTGTGTGCAATTGTTCTATTCGCAGTGACGTATACGAAGATGCGTTGTAGCACACAATACAACAATTCCACCATGTGTAAAGTGCAGTCAAATTGAACGATGTATCACACTTGATAATTTGACTGACGCCCATTTGACTGAATACTAATTTGCAGTAAACATAAAAGATATATATAGTTCGCCTGCAAAATGACCGCGACCCTGTTGGGCAAACATTGAAACACAACCTCACTTTTCTTATTTGTTTACGAAGGAATCAAAGTATTGAAATACTGTTTCACAATATTCTGGCATACGAATCGTGTTTTTTGGGCTATTTATTGAATCATGCAAGCATGCCATCACATTGTGCTGATGAAAAATGTACCAAAAATGCAGCGAGAGACGAAGGGATATGATTTTTCAGGAAAATAGTGATCTCACATATAGTTTTCATTTGGAGATTTTCTCGTTTCCCAATGAGACATCCTATGATATCTTCACGAATGTGACTTATTTTCTTTGCTAGTTGGGATTTGCTGAGGGTTGACATTCAAAAGGGCTACAGATTGAACATCTTAATCAAATATGGATTTATTAATGATTGAATACAATTTTCACGTTCCTTGAAGAGGCAGTAGGTTGACGAATGCATGAATAAAATAATCTAACAAGCGACCAAAATTCAAGTCTCCCTTAGTACGTGGATTATGATCGATCACCTCAAATGTTTATTTTATTGAAAAATGTTTTGTCACGAACGAGGACAATCGAATTGCTGAGAAATATGATGATCTCGATGAATTAGAACAGTGAAATAATAATGAGTAATAGTAATATTTTGAAATAATTTGGAAAAAATTCTTCCGTGACAATATCAAGCTTTATATATCAATATGTCAAATGAAATGAGTTAATTTTTATTTCATTTCTTAAGTAATCTACAGAACAGGCAGTTCCAATAATCGATTACAATATTGAAACTAAGTAAATCACCATTCTCAAAATAATACGATGCCTTGAACTAAATTAACTTCAAATGACCTGAGTCGAAATCAAATTGAGAGACACATTTAGTTGAAATTGACAATGGATCTTTTTCATTTAAATTGGCTTTCAGTTACAATTCTCATTTACTTCTAAGGATGATATCTCAATTTATTTATTTTTTCTAAATGTTTTTACATTGCATTTAACGTAGAAATCTATATTCCTCAAACAATTTGCAAGAGAACACATATTGTATAGTGGGGAATTATAACCTAGGTTGGTACGAGGTTTAGGCAAAACAAATATATCTCTTCTTCTATCATTGAAATATGTACTGCAGTTCAGGCAAATTTGTGTCAACAATTGTGGATTATCTACTTCATTATGCAGTAGCTTGAAGAAAAATAATGTAATAGCAACTTTTCTTCTAAATTCTAAAGTTGTGAATTCAAATTCATTCAAGGAAGTATGATAACTGAGATTGAAAATATATTCATCATGTTTTTTGTAATACAGAAATCTCAAGAAATTCGCCTGTACCTTTTCAATTTCATTTTTATGAACTGAATAATAGGGAGACCATATTATGGCACCATATTCCAGAATACTACGTACAAATGCATTATAGAGTGTTAGTATAGTGGATATTTTTGTGAATTCAAATGAGTTCAAATGAGCCATATTGTTCATTGTTTCAGGTCAACGTTTCGGTACAACCCAGCTGAAAGTTGTCATAGCTCACCTCCTCAAGAACTTCGTGCTGGAAGTGAATTCTAAGACACAATTTCCTGTGAAATATAACCCTTTTCACATTCTTCTAACACCTGTTGAAGGACTATGGATAAATTTACGGAGGTTAAAATAAAACACCTATTATAGATAATCTATTGATCGATATCAATGTTGGCGGAATTATAATCGTCATGTTTGGTCTTAAAATAAATAATTTCAATCCATATGAAGTTGTCGATTCTTTGATTTGAATTCCGCTTATTACGGCACTTTTGATGATTGTTTTATCCATTATCAAGAACATCAACTTCTCTCATTTCGAACAACACAAAAATTCCTATCGCCAAGCTAACTATTCTTTCATATCCTCATAATGGTATCAGGATCAATACACATTGTATATGTATAGTTATTGTATATTAAACACATATCAATATGATAAAATCTTATGAAAATTCCCACAATATCCAATTTAGATACCGGAGAGAAAAAAAACATCATGAAAAAACAGATTATCTCTGTTGAACTCTGATAAAGATGATAACCTCTTCTTAGTATTGAGATAATATATTATAATCTGGTAATTCCTTGATATTTCCGTAGGCCATAGTATGCCAACTAACTGTCCACTTTTTGCTACAAGTATAATAAACATGAAAAGTGGCTTTACTTGGTATTGAGAACCATTTTATCGAGGTCGAACTACAGCAAATTTTATCGAAATATTCTCCGACTTTCGACTTTCTACAAGAAAAAAATAATCGTACATTATCAGATTCTGAAGACACACGTTAAACATATTAATAAATATTATGTTAATCACTGTACAAAAACCCAACGTAATTAAATTTATCTTGTTTACTGAGCAATTGCGATAATATCCCACTTCGGTACTCCCAAACCAGACATGACTTGGAATTACTTCGAATTTTTTTTCACGGCAATATGTGGCTTTTACTTCTAGTGTTAGTGTCAACGTTGATTTATATTTTTGTAAAGAAGAGTCTGAATTATTGGGTTGAGAGGGGCGTACCTGGACCTCAACCCTTTCCAGTGGTGGGTAACGTTGGAAGAAATTTCTTTGGAAAGGCGTCACAAGGACAAATATTCACAGATATATACAGGCAAGAACTAAGAAAAATACACTCATCGGCAAAAAAACCGACCACCCCGAATTATTCGCCCTGTAACTTTTTTAATTATTGTCCGATTTTGATGAGATTCTGACCAAATCGTAAATTCATGTTTCAGAATGTTGGCCGGATTATTAGATCCTAAGATATGCTGAAGGCATGATCATTATACAGATAAAAACAAAAGTTACTCATTCACTCGCAACTGTGGCAAAGCTGACTTAACCTTGGCTTCATCATGTTTTCCATCGATGTGTGATCCCTTCTTGACTCAATGGTTTTTGATTCACGTTGATAACCACTTTTTAAGAGGAAATACAAGGGTTTTGAGAAAGAATGGATATTTTCATTTTTATTAACAAAAATTCAGAACCATTCTACAACCTTCTGCTTCATCATGTTTCGAAAGGAAAGATACATGGGTTTCAAAAAACTTTGGAATTTTTTTTATTTTTACCAACAATAATTCAGAATTAATAGAGCATCTTAGAGATGAACTCCAGAGACTCATTCATCTTCGTCCAGCCTTGTCAGAGACTCTCCAAGAGCTATGATTCGCCCTTCAGAGAAAATTTTAGGCAATTCTCTCTGCAATTCTTCATGACTACTCGAAAAATTTGATAAACACAATGCCACGGCGGTTAAATGCTGTAATTTATACTCGAGGAGGGCATACCTACTCGTTATTGACTACTGCTCTGCTGTTTGTTTTTTTTATTGTAATCAAGGTTTTTTCCGGTATGTGATTAGAAAAATGGGGTAGAAATTAGTGATATTAATTTCTTGAGTTGTTGATCAATGAGTTTATGTTTCTGATTATTGTTAATAAGAATTGAAGAATGCCATACTTTCTTAAAACACTCGTATCTTTTCTTGAAAATAAGATAATGACGTGGATCAAAAACTATTGTTTCAAAAAATGATCACACTTCAATCCAAAACATGATGAAGCCAAGTTCAACTACTCAATTAGGGCGTCAAGAAGTAATGGGGGCGAAAGAGTAACTCTGGTTTTCCCTGTTTTCCATTTTTTGGTTGTCGATTTTTTTTGCCGGTCCGTGTATATTAATATTCAATAAGGTACCCTGAATCAAAGGTATACAGTGAGGACGTAAAAAGTCCTCCTTCCCCCTCCAACTATTGAACGGTACAAGCTATAGCAAGGACAGGTAAAATTGAGGTGAAAAGGTACCTTTGGAATGAAAATGGTCACATGGTCTAGTGTCAAGAGGGCACCCTCAACTTATTTTCTCAAAGGTAAAGGGTGGTCAGGTAGTTCCCGGTTTTGATGGCCATTGGATTATCTATTCAACACCGCTTCGTTAATGCAGATATTCCAAGATAATTGAATGCTGATCCTTAAGGGCGATAATCCTTGGATGATTTCAAAGAGAAAAGTTAGGATCAGCATTCAATTCTGAAACACCCTGTATATTAATGAATAAAAAACTTTAATAACTTGCAATTGCAACAGAATTTCAAGCAACAATTATAGTGCTTAAAATGTTTCGAAATGTTCACCGACATCTGAAGTGCTATATGTGAAACGATGACAAGACTCAGAAAGGTGCAAATGAGATATTTGACTCCGAATGTTAAAAATACCCTTTATATATTATACCCTATATCAATTTCCCGTTGATTCAAATTTGTTTTAATTCATGATGATATTTTTCAAAGTTTTAATCACATCGTATATAATCATTTTTTGTAACATTCAGAATATTCTCTCGATTGATCTGAAATATAAGGGGAGAATTTGAAATTGAAAACAACGAATTGTTTTGTTGACCTAACCTAACCTGACCTAGGATAGTTTGACCCGCAATTGTCTATTTTTTTGCAATAGGCATTTTCTGTGAAAAAATTGCCATTCCTGATTTTTCGTACTTTATACACCCAGTAGCTCAAACAGGATGGATTTTATGAAATACGTTGATAGAAACATTTTTTTTTAAAACAAGGACTTGAAACTTGTAATGATAAACTTCTATAAAGCACAAGACCGCAAGAGTTGAGTTCAATGTTATTTGTCCATATTATTCATGAAAAAAAAAGGGTTTTCAAGAAACCGAAAATTTCATAATAATACTACAAGATGACAATTCGATTGAATAGTTACATAGATCATTGAGTAAGAACACTACACATATCATCTTCAACAATAGAAAAATCGTGCGCCAGTGCGGTAGAATGAAAAAAAAATCGTGCAGAAAAGTAAAAATCATTCGGAAAAGTAAAATCGTACGAAACAATACAACATTTAGAATGAAAAATCGTGCGAAAAAGTTACCAAAATGAATAGAAGAGGAGTCGTTATTCTATGCTCTTCTACAGATATTGCGTATACAGGGTGTCCGCTAAAAGGAGGTCAATCCATTAACCACATATTCCTTGAACAAAAACAATATGAGTTTCTAAATATCATTTTTCATTTTAGCCCTTCATATTCGGTATACAGGGTGTCAAAGTTGGAAATTGAAAACTGTTTTTTTCTAATTACTCGCGTATTTGATAAGATATTAATCTCAAAATTGGTACATTACTTCAGCACAAAGAGTTACATCGTGTGAGGGAAACAAAACAGAAAATAACTGTCAAATATTCAAGATACTGGGGGTCAAGTTCACACTTACCCCCATGTTTTGTTTGTACGTGCGCTAATGACTTCCTATCTATTTTCCTTCAAGTGTTCAATCATTTTTGAGTATTTTTTGTTTCCTGTAAAATTTCGATTGAATCATTTGTTTTTAAGATAATTCGAAAAGTACTGGTTATTGTTTGATGCCTATGCGGCTTAGGTAATCTCATAATGTTCACATACTCCTATTTATTTCGTCGAAATTGAAAGAGGGCGTATCTTTTTACGTACGAAAAGGTAAATATGGAAATACCGGGTGCTCGGAGCAAATGTACTAAAATAATTTTTACAAAAAAAAAAAAAATCAAAAAGTGTATAAATTATTTTAATACATTCGCTCTGAGCACCCGGTATTTCCATATTCACCTTTCCGTACGTAATTAGATACGCCCTCTTCCAATTTCGACGAAATAAATAGGAGTATGTGAACATTATGAGATTACCGTAAGCCGCAAGGCATCAAACAATAACCAGTACTTTTCGAATTATCTTAAAAACAAATAATTTTATCGAAATTTTACAAAAATCAAAAAAAATGATTGAACACATGAAGAAAACTAGATAGGAAGTCATTAGCGCACGTACAAAAAAAATATGGGGGTAAGTGTGTACTTGACCCCCAGTATTTTGAATATTTGACAGTTATTTTCTGTTTTGTTTTCCTCACACGATGTAACTCTTTGTGTTGAAGTAATGTACCCATTTTGAGATTAATATCTTATTAATTACGCGAGTAATTAGAAAAAAACAGTCTTTAATTTTCAACTTTGACACCCTGTATATCGAATAAGAAGGGCTAAAATGAAAAATGGTATTTAGAAACTCATATTATTTTTGTTCAAGGAATATATGGTTAATGGATTGACCTCCTTTTAGCGGACACCCTGTATATAGTTGTATATGTGTTATTCCATAGAACGTATCAAGAACACTCTTTCGTTGGAATCTTCAGAGGAACCATACCATATCTGCTTGTAAGAGATCCAGATTTCATCAGAAATATAACAGTCAAAGACTTCAAGCATTTTCAAGATAACAACGTTACAGTAGATAAGGACGTAGATCCTGTTTTCGCAAGAAACCCGTTTGTCATCAAGGGCACAGAATGGAAATTGAAAAGGGCACAACTGACATCCTGTTTCTCATCTGGAAAAGTAAGACTCATCAATAAAATTATGTATATCTTCATCTTCAATGATTGTTTCGTTAATTTTTTTTTGTTGAGGGAAGAAAGATTTACATTTTTTCCCTATTGACAGGTTATGTCACGTTTCATAAATCACTTTGTTTCACACTGGAAAGAAGTGAGTAATTTTTTTCCGGATATACAGTGTGTCCCACTTACCATGCTCACCATGGGTATCTTTTTAACGGTGAGCGATACGAAGTCGGTTAAATGACACCAAATGTGGAGTTTGTCAAGGCCAACTATAATGTGAAAAAATATTTTGATACAACCTATTCGTTTTTGTTTTGTAGGCAAAAAACAGATTTTGATCATTTTCATGTCTCCTCCGTAACTTCTTTATTTATGAAAATATTTAAATAGGAATTTCACATTCTCATGGCAGTTTTTCGAAGTGATTTCGAAAAAAATATGAAATTTATACCAACTCTTCCAGAATTTGAGATATCAGCACGAACTTTAGTTTTTCAAATGTAGGTCATAGCTCACTATGACTTAGTTACAAATGACTTTTTTTTCTCTTACAGATGATATGTCGCAGTAATAGTTTTGTGTTGATAACAACGGAGTTATCGTCTTTTATACAAAAACAAAAAATTATTCGGAAGCCGCCATCTTGAATTTATGAATTTCAACAAAAAAATGTATTATCACCAAAATTATGAACACTTGTCGAATTTCATGTTAACCGGAGTTATGGAATTTTTGTTGAAATTAAAAAAAATGGCTGCTCCAAGATGGCGGACAAGATTTGGTCCGATTCCATTCAAAATTGGTAAGTGGGGGTTTTTGAGGTCGGAGATCATGATTTTTTTGGTTAAATTTATAAATTCAAGATGGCGGCTTCCAAATAATTTTTTGTTTTTGTATAAATGACGATAACTCCGTTGTTATCAACACAAAACTATTACTGCGACATATCATCTGTAAGATGAAGAAAAGTTATTTGTAACTAAGTCATAGTGAGCTATGACCTATATTTGAAAAACTGAAGTTGGTGCTAATATCTCAAATTCTAGAAGAGTTGGTATAAATTTAATATTCTTTTCGAAATCACTTCGAAAAACTGCCACGTGAATGTGGAATTCCTATTTGAATATTTTCATAAATAAAGAAGTTACGGAGGAGACATGAAAATGATCAAAATCTGATTTTTGCCTATAAAACAAAAACGTATAGATTTTATCAGAATATTTTTTCACATAATAGTTGGCCTTGACAAACTCCACATTTGGTGTCATTTAACCGACCTCGTATCTCTCACCGTTAAAAAGATACCCATGGTGAGCATGGTAAGTGGGACACACTGTATAGGATTTATTTCACTCCGCGGTTACGTGAATTACTGAACAACCACTGTTCGCAATTTTTTGAACTCGAAACTAGATTGACACATATATATTCGATCACTTCAAAAGGTTTCCATAGCAACAATAAAGATGTCTACAAAAAGATCCCTGCGAACACAGGTGTAATACCAGTTGAAAAACTTCAAATTTCACATCGATAATTTTCTGATTATATTATAATGTGATATCTTCCCAATATTGAATAGTCGTTTTGCCTGTCACAGGGAAAGGAGTGTTTTATACAAGGGAAAATATTAGTTTTTAGCACTAGGTTTTTTGGATCCATCTGCTACGCGACGGAAGACAACACAACCTACAATATAAAATCTTATAATTTTTTCCCTTGTATAATAAACAACTATTGTTGGCGTGAATCAATAGTTCTTTCAACTTCATGATTTTTTTTTTATCAGTTAAACGAACTCGTGATGTAGGATATTTGAATTCTTGACTCAATCACTCTACATTTCAGATCAAAGGTTTCTATCCTTTATTGGAAGAATCTGCTATGAAGATGATCAAATACATAGAGCACCAGTTGATGACCTCTGCACCTTTAGAATGCAGGGAAATCAGTGTCCGTTTCACTCTGGAAAATGTAGCTTCTTGTGCTTTCGGCATAGATGGCAAATGTTTTGAAGAGGATTACCCAAAATTCAGAGAAATGGCTGATGAGTTTCTTTCACCTAGAGGTCTGCTACGTGGCTTGAAACTCACATTCATATTCTCATGGCCATCTTTAGCTAAACTACTCAGGATGAAGTAAGTTTTCTGGTCTCTACCGACCACTTCATATAATATGACTGACTCCAAAAATTCGAAAAAAAAAGCGAAATCAGTATGGACCATTTCCAATGATTTGACTAATGAAAACATACCAAAGGATAACATCATTCAAAGATCCCTTACAAATTGCAGAAATGTTCAATTTCCATTTTGGCAGGATCCAAAATGACTACCAAAAAATTTAATATGCTGGAAATTAATTATTTTGATTGCCTGCAACTCCAAATCAGATATCAATATATTACATGAATTGCAACCTATATACTCTAGTGGGCACGGCTATTATTGAAACAGTTCTAGAGTTTCTTTGCATTCCACTGAGGCACATCATGAATGAGTGTCTCTCATCAGGATTTATCACTGATGATCTCGAAATGCCTAAGGTCATTCATAAAAAGGGATCAAAAAGTGATATGACAATGTCAGCTCTGTCATCCTTGCCAGCTATTTCCAAAGTCGCTGAATACATATTCATCAACCGAGTTAGTTGGTTTCGTGATGAAAATAACTTAATTTCTGTCCACTGAGTTGGTCATAAAGATTGCTATTTCTCATATTGGCAGGAATCTGGACAACAGTGATATGTCAGCAGGGCTATATTCCAATTTCTGTCAAACGCCTTTGACATGGTTAACCACAAAATACTTTGTGAAAAGCTAGATGACTATGAGATAAGGGGAGTATTATTGCATTTGTTCAAGCCTCACCTGAAAAATCGATATAAATTTATTGATATCATGCAAAATGGGTGGAATGCGACATTTAACTAAACTTAAATGAAACAAGAGGTTCCACAAGGGTCCATTTGGGGGCCTTTCATGTTTCTCCTCTATGATGATCATCTGCAATGTCTAGCTCTTATGTCCAAGTAGTTCAGTTTGCCGACGAGAAATCGACATTAGTTATGGGGTTATAGGGACTGCCAATATGATTTCAAAATGCCATATGTCTAAGCCGCTTCGTTACTGGCATACAGAGCGATTTGTGAATTTTGACGAAGAATGCATGAATCAATCTGGAATTCTTCATCTTCAATCTGGACAACAGGTTATTTTGGCCTCGGATGCTTGAATTTCTTTATATATACTCATATACATCTGTCCAAATATTGACTGAAATAAGCATGCACGAACAACTGTTAAAACAACCTAACAAAATAAATTATCTTTCGATCTTCGAATTTTGTAATTTTGGTAGTATAACGTTTGTCAAAAAATCAAGTAGGATACATCGTTGAAGTTAAAATTTATTGCACTTCACATATCAGCAAAACAATTATAGGGTATTACTCAATATATCAAGCGGGGGTGACTTTTCAGGGGTAATTTGAGAGAAATTGATTGACACAACGACTGCAAAGTCATATGGGGTTGACAATAAATTGATTTCTCCAATTTTTTTCCAAGCATCATAACTGAGATATCGGCTGTATTGAAAGATCTAGGATACCCAGTATAGACAAAACTATAATAGAAACATACCACACATACCTCACATAATGGATGAATGTTCACTGCCTTCGGAACTTTTGGGTACAGAAGTTGATAGCATCAGTTCTTGTCTGAAAGCTAGAAAGAACACTTTCAGCTCATATAAATAACGATTTCTACTTTTCTCTTGCCGAGGTGGTTGAAATCCTTCATGGACATCATTTGGGAATAGTCCCCCATTTGATAGTGTGGAAGTCCCTTGACTCCAGAGTAAACCCGCTAAACACTTCACCCCGTTTGTGAGCTCGACTGAGTGATGTCTCCGACATCCGACACTCAAGCCTTGTGGCCCCATTGTATCTCACATACATGCTGTTATCAATTTTACCCCAAATGACTCATAGTACTCATTGAGGGCCATTTCAATATGGAATACCCTTTTCGTTCAGGGTCCTAAAGATTACTCTTTCGATCCTTGTTCTTGTCTGGAAGAAGTTCCTTCTGCTGAGAGTGACGGGGGAAGGAGTTGGTCCAGTTCTGTGGTGCCCCCTGCACAGAGCTAGGGCTGTTCACTCAGAGATGTCGTCATGTTTCTCAAAGGCCCTGTCAGTGACACAATATACCTCGGTGCCACTAATCCATCGCCACGTGTTTCCACAGCAAATCACCCTATCCTTCCCACAGATGTCCATAAATAATTGTTCCATCTGGCATGGAGATAGCAAAGATGGTGCCATCATGCTTCATCTGTCTAGCTGCCGCGGTCTGTCTTTCCCACACCACTTGATGGTGAGGTTGGGCTTGGAGGGGACGATGAAATGAGAAGTTGGCCAAGGAAGGCCGATAGGATGGATAGGAAAAGGAAAAGAGAAATGGATATCATCCAAGACAAGTTGAGGTTCGGTGAATATCCAGCTAGGGTACCTCGGATGCACCATTCCCTTACTCACAAGTTTCAAGCGTTTTAGGGCGATTTCTACCCATGGATTTGAAATTAATTATATACAAAATATATCAAGGACCACCTACTTTTCTCAAATCTGATATTTTCCACATTTTTCTTAATACTTTGATACCAGAGCAATAATACTCGTACTCATATTTATTTTTCGCTCTAGTAGCAAAATGGTTTTCGCATCAATCTTCTTTTCAGATTCGTTGCCAAAGAAGTAGAAGACAAACTACTGGAAACTGTGAGGACATCTCTCAAGTATCGCAAGGAGAACGACGTTGTGAGAAATGACTTCCTCGAATACGTTAGTCAGCTATCAACGAACACAGATTTATTCACTGAAATGGATATTGTTGGACATGCCGCTAGTTTTTTCAGTGATGGATATGAAACCAGTTCTAGGGTTAGTAATAATAGAATGATGTGATAGGTATTCAGTTGTTTTGATGCTTTGGTCCCTAGTTATCGATTGAGTTGAAGTTCTTCCATTTCTAGAATGTCATCATATTCTTTGCTAGAGAAGAGTTTGCTGGTCAATCAATTCTATAAAGGAAAATACTCATCCTACTAACAACACTACTTGTAAGTGATGTTGAACAATGCTTTAATTTCTCAAATTTTGCTATATACGCCGACGACATGAAAATTTATAGTAAAATTGAACAGAGATCAGATTACGTGGGTTTCCAGGAAGATCTTGGACTGCAAATCTTCTGCAGTACAAATAGATTATTTATCAATGCGAGCAAATGTTATAATGTTCTATCTTCTAAATCTCAAGACCCTATCACTGAAAACCTATATATCAATAATCAGATAATATCAACAACTGAAGAAGTTCGAGATCTAGGAGTGATACTAGATGAAAAATTAACTCTTGAATCACATATTAGAGCTTCTAAAAGAGCACTCCGCACTCTGATATTTATTCTGAAAAAAAACTAAAGAATTTCAAAATTATTTATCAGTTACCACTTTATATAAATCATTAGTCAGGCCTATGCTTGAATACTGCTCTTCCATTTGGAATCCCGTGTGTGACAAATATGTGGATCACATTGAACATATTAAAAAAAAATTGGTCACCAATTCGAACTATAGATTCTTCCGCTTCCGTCACCACATGAGCTATGAGAGCAACTTAAATATCTATAGAATAGAGAATATTTTCATTAGAAGAAACTTCGTTGACATATTATTCATTCACAAGATCTTCAACAATCATAATATATTGCTTCAACAGCATGCATTAGATTCCTGAGATTGAATTGTAATCCTAGAATGGTTAGGAATAGACTTACTCTCTACCCACCTTCTTTCTCAACTAATTATTATGATAATCCACCTCTAATGGAATGTATGACCTCGTACAATGAAAATTGCCACTGTATTATTGATATATTTCACTTTGATCTCAAAAGATTCAAGAAACAACTGAGAGAATTCTTATTGAATTTCTATAGTATTCCTTGAATATAGAAATATAGAAATATAGAAATAGTGCTGGTCATATCGCAATTGTACTTTTTCAGTCTGTGTCAAAATATACTACCTATATATATTCATATATGTTGATATTGTATATACCGACGTTACTGTTGTTTTCTTCAGATTGTTATTTTTTGAATGAAAGTTATGGAATAGGTAGGTACTTAGTTTTCAAATGATCATAAGTAGGTGCAACCAATGTAAAGATAACAATTTTGTATCACTGTGTTATCCTGTTATTGGAAGGACTATTTATAGTTCCTCTGCTGGATAGCCTTGCTTTCTAAATAAATAAATGATTATGTCTTTTGTTCTTGTAGGTTATGGGTTTCTTCATTTTCGAATTAGCAATGAACCCTGAGTGTCAGCACAAACTAAGAGAAGAGATCATCAATTCATATGAGAAACATGGAAACAGCTTCTCGTATGAGTCCATAAATGAGATGGAATATCTGGATGCCTGCTTCAATGGTAATAACACTAAACTCGATCATTGAATAATCAAGCTATGAGTTGTGAGATCTAGTTATGAACGAAGTTATTTTTGGCTCTAGGAAAGTTACTAGGGTCTACATCATTCACTCTGATTGATGAAATGGAAAAATATGAACTATTGGCTAATTTCTAGAATTTGATGATCTTCCGTTCCAGAGAGTATGAGGAAAAACTCCATACTTCACCACCTGGCCAAAGTATGTACCGAGGCATACACATATACTCCTACCAATCCGGAATACAAGAAGTTATCAGTGAATATAGAACCTGGCACTCCTATCATAATCCCCCTCACAGGATTACATACTGACCCAAAATACTGGAAATCTCCTGAAAAATTCATTCCTGAGAGATTTCTGACCAGAGAGAATACCAATAAGTTCACTTATTTACCATTCGGAGAAGGACCTAGAATATGCATTGGTAGGTAACATAATTTGATGTTAGTGCTCATTTTTTATTATAAAATCGGATACTAAAGCTTCGCTCCAAGTAGTTGAGAGAATTATTGAGAACTGATTGTAGCTACATTGTCTCATCCCATCTTTGCTAGATTGCATTCATTTTGAAAACATGGATACTATAGGTACCAGGTGTCCCAGATCAATTAGTCCAGCAGATATCTTGGTTCTAACATACGAAAAATTTCAAAAAATTGTGAAAGGGAAGGCTCTTCAAAATAGTGAGATGAAATCACCCTGGGTACAAACAATCAACGAGAATCGACTCCTCACTTTAGTTTTTCAAATTGCACCCCATTTTTTTTTTTTTTTTGGTTTATCTGATGGAATTGTCATTCTCAAATCGACTATAAATCTCGATCGATATAGCGTTATTGTCCAAACTATAAAGAAGTGATTCCTTAAAAAAATTGAGCTACACTCTAAGTCTGAATAGACAATATCAGGTAAGTGTAGCAAGACTAGCATAAAATTGATGAAATTATTCGAAACTTTAGAGAATGCATGCCGAATATCTAGTCAGATATATCGCTGAATTGAGAATCAAGAGTTCTATAATATGAACAGAAAAAACATAGGATGCAATTTGAAAACCAAGGTAAGGGGTGGTTTGTAGTGGATTGTCACGGTAACGCAGCTATATAACAGGCTTCCCGATGAATTTAAGATAACTGGTAATATTTATAACTTCAAACATAAGCTGATCTCTGCTTCTAAGCATTCTCATTTTCATTTTTTTCATTCACACACACCAATCATTAAGATGATGTGGATCGTTTTGTAATAGTTTATAATCAGACCGACCAATGTTTTTCCCAAAAATTGTACAGTCATCTACGTATTATATACAGTGACTTGATATGAGATCAGTGAGATCATTTATGAACAATATAAATAGAAGGGGCCCAATTTATAACCCTGAGGTACACCAGACTTCTCAAGGCATTTGTCAAATTCCTTTCCTCTATACAAGATGAATAGGATTCCATTGAAAAGATAGTTCGTTAATAGCACTATGAATGGATCACTGAAAGAATACTTACGAAGTTTACTTATCAGGATAGCATGATCGACTTTGTCGAATACCTTTGCAAAGTCCATGTGAATGATCACCCTGTGAGAAGGGTTCACGAGCTGCTGCGGGCTAATATGTCCTCACATATCAGGAATCCGTAGACGACTAACTATTCCGATTGAATAAGTGTTCATAAGTAAGTTTTGGTAAACGAGTATATATAAGATTGTAAATGAAGAATGAATGGAACTTAGATGATACTTGTATAACTGTGAAATGACATTCAGGATTCAAATGATTATCTTTCAAATTCCATCTTTCAACTTTCATTTTGTTCCATTTTTTCAAATCTATATGGTTACCCTTTCTCTCAGTAACAACTGAGAAGTGTCAAGACGAATACGAATTTGCTATAAAAATATCTATTTTTTATGTTGAAAACGGAAGCAGATTCGTTCCCAAACCGTACAAAGCTAAATGAAGATTTTATATTTGTCACTGACAAGCTAGTGAATTTAGCTTTTAGGCTCTCTGATAGGAACATTTCTTAAACACAGTGACATTCTGGGGCGAATCATCTGATTTGTCCTAACAATAAGTATATTGAAATGATATTCATATTTTCATTTCATACAAACTAGGAGAGAAAATCTCAAAAAATCCGGAGTAATGAATGTACCACCTCTCCGATTCAACTACAGAAGTTTTCAATGTATTTTTATTGACCGTGTTACTTTCCATGCCTAACGCTTCATTATGGTGTCATTCAATTGTACACTTTGAGTCCCCTTAGGGTTCTAATTTGATTTATTTATTTCGATATCACCCTGTAGATTCTCAAAGCCCCAGAATGAATCTTTCGGAAGAATTGAATTGATGTATGAATGCGTAAATGACCACTTTTCTTCATCGCGTTTTGAGATCGAGGCAACTACTATGTGACTATTTAGCAGTTCTACCAACCTTGATATCAACGAATATGTGTGAAATCTAACGTTCAAATGTATTATTTCTCATTTTTTCAGGTCAACGTTTTGGTACAACACAACTGAAAGTTGGGATAGCACACCTCTTCAAGAACTTCGTGGTGGAAGTGAATTCAAAAACACAATTCCCTCTGACATACAATCCATATCACATACTTCTCTCACCAGTTGGGGGACTTTGGATAAATTTGCGGAAAGTATAGAATTGTATTCATAAATTGATAAATATTTAAGATGTCTTCCTCTGTATCCTATATTGACTGAATGATCTTACCTATTTTTAGTAATAAAAAAATGATGTCGCCTCCATTCAGTTGTAAATTATTCGTTATGAATTCTACCAAATTTCAGCACGCCGTCATCTGGTATGATAATTCACTAAATATGGAAAACTTGTCATGAAACATATGTCGTGTTGAATTTTCCATATGAAAATGTGTCATTGAAGTACATCATGAATATATGAAGTGATCAATGACAACATGAGAAGGGAAAGTAGCTGACAAGACAGGAAGAAATCGAAGGCGAAATTTCGAAATCCCCTTGAAATATCTCGACAAATAGTGGTTTTTCCACATTTTCATTATCAAATTTGTGTTTCTCAGACGAAAATACGTAGGTATCACAAACATTTTTTGAAAAAAGGAACCATCGCCAGTGCAAAATTACAAAATAATTTGGTGGACTATTCACAGTTTTCAACCGTCCATAGACCAAAAAAATAGTACAAACTTCTTCGTGTCTGTATGGCATGATATCATTCAAACCCCTTGCCATTAGATTCCTCAACGATTTTTTATCCATTCCCTCTATGAATAATGTTTCTTGGAAACTCATGGAATGATGGGTTTTTGCTTATTTCTGGAGTATTTTCTCATCCGTTGTTCACACATTCATATCCAGACTTTCCTGTTTTCTCTTTGTTCCTATTCCATCAACAGATCGAAATTTCAGATTTGTATTAGATCTGACATTTTCTTGACATGACAGAATTCAAACATTTCGTGAAATGACAAATTCGTAAATGTTGCCAATAAATAAAGAAGAAACCAAAAATGATATCCAATATGTCAAAAACAGCGCTCATCGTGAAAAAGTTATTTATCAAACAAGTGCGGCAAAGAAATTTTTCGCAAGAGTTGGGTACAAAGTTTTTCCCACGAGTGTTTTCGTCCATATATTAGGTATTTATATTATATATTTTCATGCACTGAAGAATAATGAAATTTTTTTTCCTTTGAAGAGCATTCAAATAATAAAAGCTTAGAAATCAACGATGGAAAATATCGAAAATGAAAGTGCAATTTGTGTTTGTTGCATGCTGTAACATAGCAGATGCCGCAACATCTTGAAAAACGTCGTTTCTTATTTGAATTTGATTGGTTAGTGTTTGCATCAATTATTTCCGGGGAGAGATCTTGAAAGTTTCCTGAGTTATAATTATAACCAATAATAATAATCGATTTTATTCACCAATATGAAAAATAAATCAGAATATAATACAATGAATAGGGAGGATGTTTATGGTGTATAGGCGGAGATCAGCTGAAGCTGAAGCTGAAGCTTAACCTCTGTGAGCGAAAAAGAAAAAGAAACACATATGGAGCTAATAAACTATAGTGAGCATGGGGAAAATGAAAATATTTTTTCTACTCACATAACTAAAATGGCAATTATCGTATGGATATGTAACAAATATTAAACACGTTACTATGGCAACACGATTTCTTAAACACATTACTATGGCAACACAGTTCATTAAACACAGCTTCAGTAATTTGAGACATATGTCTGGCCTGTCAATTGTATTAACTGTTATTTTCAAATTTCGTATCAGAATTATTCAAACAATATTCGTTTGTATCAGAATTCTTCATCAAAAATATATGCGAAATGTAGACGAAAGTGAAATTGAAGAGAATGTTCTGGTACTTGCATATCTCCAAGAAGTGTAGAAATAAAGCATCCATCTTTGAGAACAATTTATTTATTCTGCGCTAAGCATGATAATAAACGTGAAACAAAGAGTAAACAATGGACTGGACACATCTACAACCAATATCACTTATACGTGTCTCGCTGGTTGCATGCAGTTGCATGTATCATGTTCTCAATTCCCATTCCTTCCGAATTATTTTGTAGGTTAGCAGGAATTGCAGGTATGTTAATGTAATTTTCGGAGATCGTAGAAAAATCATAGTATGTAACGCATTTATAACCTCTTCTAGACACTCGTTTATTAAACACTCGCTCTGCTCTGCTCCGCTCGTGCTTAAACTACTCGTTACTAAAAGGACGTTTATAACACTTGTTACATGATATACTATTTTGAAAGTAACAATCAAGATAATGAAAAATAATGATGAGAATAATAATATTCATAATGATAATAATAATATTCATAATGAGGGTGATAATACTAATGATAATAACATCAACGACGATTCTAATAATAATATTATATTCAATTTCATCTTTTGAAGTATTGACAAATAGAAAAGAGCTTGGTTCAGCAGCAATCATTCAGTCCTAAGCGTATCTTAATGTTTGTTTCAATATTTTCTTAAAGTTGTATAAATAGAAATTCCTGTATTCTGTGGGGAGCGAATTATAGTGTTTGGATTCTTTGTAGGCAAAACTACGTGTAAATAATGCTGTGGAGTATCTCGGAATAACTAGTAAAAGGTTTTTTGTCTGGTGTTCAGTTGATTCACATTCGAAAAAGGGACTAGCCTTTCACGCTTATATGGTCACCTGTCTGTAAGACCTTATGAGTAAGTGTTAGTAAGTGAAGTTTCCGTGAGCTTTCTAATTTCAGCCATTCACTGAATTTAGAAATAATGATCGTATTTCCGGATACCGTGAGAAAATCGAATGCAGGAATTCTGAATTTTCTGAAGAAAGAAAACTAACGCTAGAAATGCTCATTTGTTGACTGCCGGCCACTACCAAAGATTACCGAATCCACCTCTGTCAGTTTATAGCGACTGTTGATATGGGTACATTCTGTTGCCAACACCACATGTCTCCTGGTATTTCCTTCGAAATCGTGCAGAAAAGTAAAAATAATGCAGAAAACTAGAATCGTATGGAAAAGTACAACTTTCAAAACGAAAAATCATGTGAAAAAGTAAATTTTCCGCACGCTCGTATCAAATTGTCTATTTAAATTTCGAATCGAAAATTGAAAGGTCTCACTCAGTGAATTTTGCAGAAAAATCCGGAAAACCGATAAGGAGCTATACGAGGAAATTCATATTTCATCATATAACTTCATTTATCTCACCAGATAAGCAGTCTAGAAACTTTTTTTAACCCCGTGCATGCATCATATCGACGATTCTTAATTTGCGAAACATCAAATTTCAGACAGTGATGAGTATATTTCCCACTTATTGATGTAACTATGTTTATCTGCGATATAATTTTTTCACCATCCCAAAATAACAAAGATTACATTGTGATCAATAAATCACTTTCTCAATTCCGATCAACTAGAAATCGAATCTTAGCTAATAGAGCATGAATGTGAGTGAATCAAGCATTTTACCTAATATTATTGACCATTGACCGATATCCAGTAAAGTTTGAGAGTTATCCCAGAGATTGAAACTCAAACATGCTTGCTTGAGGAATTTGAAGCTGTTATAGCAGATCAGAGATTCATCACAAGCGTTGATTAGTTATTCGTGTAAGTACCTTCAAACCCTCAGGGGCTCACAACTGATGGTCGATGGTTTTACGAAGGTGAAAGGGCATTTCATTTTAATTTGAGCCAAATATATCTTTGAACCAGGTGTTACGGCTTCCTAGTGATTCGAAAATAACAATAAAATCATGAAGAAGTCGTAATCCTACTAAAATGACCAGGTTTGAAGATCTCAGTCCCCATAATTCTGAACGTTTGCAGACTATTTTTCCAATCACTCTGTAGTTGTTAATTGTATCACCATTTCAGAAACAGCATGAATTACAGACTCTGTACAAATTATTTCTTTTCTTATATTATTCGATTAAGAACGTTTACAGGGTGATTCACCATAAATGTCCCCCTTCGTTATTTTTGAACTGATTGCGAAATTTTTGAATATCATTTGATTTTTGATAGAGGTTTTTTCCGCTACATCAGAAAATACAAGGTGCTCGGGACAAACGATCTACAGGGTACTATTTGATTTTTTTGACTAGAACACCCCATTGTATTCATTGTATTCATAGATTCGACCTGAAGAGCTGATTTCATCAATGCATCACACTTGGGGTCTAGCGAAAATGATTACAGAGATATAGGGTGTTCAAAATCGAGATTTTTCAACTTCATGATTTTTCTGTGACGAAACTATTCATTATCGGTCGAAACGGCTTTTATGACCGTATCTCAACTTTTGATTTACTATCTACTGACATTTAATTATTGGAACAGATACAGGGTGATCAGAATTCTGAATCTTGAACCACGGTGTATATGTTCCAATTAAATGTCCATAGATAGTGAATTTAAATTTGAGATAGGGACATTGTAGCCGTTTTGACCAATAATAAATAGTTTCTACACAAAAAAATACTTTCGTTTGAAAATCTCGTTTTTGAACACCCTATATCTCTGTAATCATTTTCGCTAGACCCCAAGTGTGATACATTGATGAAATCAGCTCTTCAGGGAGAATCTAAAAATACAATGAAAAATTGGGTATTTCATTTGAAAAAATTAAATAGTACCCTGTAGATCGTTTGTTCCGAGCACCTTGTGTTTTTTATGCAACGGGAAAAAAATTCCTGGAAAATCATTTCAGATGATCCTCCAAATTTACAAATCGGTTAAAAAATTAATGAGCTGGAGGGGGGACATTTATGGTGAATCACATTGTACATACGATGTATACTTTTAGTTTGAAAAACAATCTATTATCGTAATATGAATTCACCATACGAATATAGTACCTAAAATATTTTACCTATACTTCTACTATCGCTAACGCTAATTATTTACTCTTATACAGAATATTGTGTTTTCAGTTGTCATACATATTACAAATCAGTAATAGTGAATGAATAATATAGACATGAGTTCCCATATCATAAAAGTATGTAGATAGGTTCGTATTTTTTTTATAGCGTATTTATTGATGTAACCTATGTCGATATTGTTCCCTTAATGATCATAAAAATGAAACTCAAATTGGAAAAAAAATTGTATCTCAATCGTCACACATTTTTCAACTGTAATTCAGAAAGCCTGATTTGTAATTCAGATTGGTGAAATGTGTAAGTTAGATTTGTACATTGTAATCTTTATCAGAAAGCGTAACATTCAATTCAAATTGGTGGAATGTAAATATTCTGTAAGTGTAACTTGTTGTTCTGAATATGCAATCGTATTTCAGACACTATATAGCAAGGACTCGAATAAGAGTTAGTTATGATGAAAACATGGAAACGTTGGGTTTCTACACGTATATTATGATTACCCAGCATGATATATCTTTTATCAACTACGAAATAGCCAGCATGCTCAAATCAGCATGAAATTTTATGAAGATAATTTGTAGATTATGCACTCTCAAAAAAATTTTGAAACAACTTCAGAACAATATCGAAACTATTTTAGAACAATTTTAGAACGATTCTAGCATAATTTCAGGTGGCTGTCATATAGAAATTTCATCATAAAACATGTTTCCACTATCAAAATAATTTTTCATCACAATTCTTTTGAATTTGTACTGGGAATATCTGTTAGCGTTATTGAATGATACAATTTTTACTTTCGGAAATGAAGAGAGCACCAGGTTGTTATAAGAGTAACAAAATGGAGACAATCAATCTTCTACCACCCTGAAGAATTTCCTGAAAAAAATATCAAGGGTGAGGGTAGTTTCAATCCTTCTACAATTCCTGTTGGGCTTCTTTGATAACTGAAAACAGAGTCCAATTTCATAAAATTTAATTAACACATTTCTGAACAACGAAGAAAAATGTGAAGCCAGAATCTACTACTTCTTGCCCTTGTATAATAAATAACTATTCATCTATGTGAACTTTGAACTCTCCTCACGGAGAAACGGTACATTTTGATATATAAATGAATTGGGTACAATCAACTTATATTGTCATCTACTACACGCAGTAGCTATGTCCCAGCAATTTTAATACACCCTGTATACAGGGTGTTTCAGAGTTGTGGTGAGAAAAGCCTAGGAAAAAATCGTCTCAACAGAATATGGAAAAAGTTTACATGAACATGGGTTCGAAAATGTTTCGTTTCCGAGATAAAGGTTGTCCACCTTTAAAAAAAAAGAGTTTCCCATTAATATCTTGAAAAAGATTGAGCCGATTCGGATGAAATTTCCATAATTTATCATTGACCAATTAGATTTGATTCAGAATTTCCAGGGGCGTATCCACCAGGCAAGTCGACATTTTTATGTAGAGAATTAATTCACCCTGTGTTTCTCCATAGGTTCTTCCCAAATATTCAGATAAACTCAATGAAAATACAACATTTTTGTCACTTGATATGTTCTCGTATCTTGCTTCGTTTTAGAGAAAAACAGACTACGAAATGTATACGATCCTCAAATCTTGTGACAAATATTTCTTCAAGATATTAATGAATACACTTTTTCTTCACTATATTTTGGAGCCACAACATTTTCGGACCCATGTTCACATGAACTTTTTTCATATTTTTCTGAGAGGAATCTCCCATAGGCTTTTGTTTACCACAACTCTGGAACACCCTGTATTACCAAGACACTATTGTTGCATGTTCATCTGTCTTCCAATTCACAAATAGTAAATTCATCAATCAGCGATATAATTGTTTGAATATTAAATTTTGTCAATTAATCACTTTCTCAGTTCCGATCAACTGAAAATCGAATCTTATCAAATAGAGAGAGAATGTAAGTGAATCAAGCAATGATACCAAGATAATTGAACGATATCCACTAGAGTTTGAGAGTTATCCCAAAGATTCAAACTGAAAAGAGACCGCTAGAGTAATTTGAAGCTGTTATTGCAGATCAGAGATTCATGTAAGTACCTTCAAGTGATCATGAATCATATTGTATGTCCTATAGACCAGTGCTGAAGCCTTTGAAAACGGTAAAATGTGAAGAAAAATCATAGTAGGATGAAACTCATTGAAAAAGAAAGAGAATATAACGAAACAAAAATAAATGACGGGCGATCTGAGGTCGGTTTATTTTGATTTACAGCAAAACTACGAGCCCTATGGAAAAAGTTGGAAAGCAAAGTTGTAGGTAATGAATAGACCTACAACTTTTGTGATTACACTTTTTTAACATAATCTCAAAATTTATGGGAAAAATTCAAATAATCTTGTTATTGGTTTTTTATTTTCATCTTATGCAAAAACTTATCTTTTCATGTACTAAAGACACTGAAATTCCTTTTATTTCAAATATTTATTTCTTCACCTTATATTGACTCAATATCGAAAAAACACTCGAAAATTCTCGCGTCAAAATATCAGCTTTTTGTAAAAACTCGTGGCGTTTTTTGTTCCTTGAAATCTCTTCTTTCTGATAATGTAAAAAAAACATTACTATGGTGAATGTTCTCAGAAAATGCAAAGAAAAGAAAAATACTCGAATCCGAATTTTTTTTCATCACTATGTACAATTTTGAGCTATTTCGTGAAATCTTCACTTTGATTACTTGAAAAACGTAAGATTCTATGTTATATTGAGAAACAAAAAAATTACAATTCCATAAATCATAAATATTGCAAGATACATGCGAAAATAGTATCTTTCCCGATTTTCAATCTCGAACACTATACAAGTTGGTCAATGTTTTGTGCTCGGTCTCCCTGTAAAAATATCTATCAAATATTAAAACCAAACACTCTCTATATAAACAATATGAGATTTCATACAATAAAGGTCACAATAGCTCAACCAAGAGACAATCTGTGGTAATTGAGCTACAAATAAGAATATTTCTGGTCAGTAGTACAAATTATCACATTTCTCGAAAAAAAATCTTTTTCTCGAAAATCTGGAAAGATAAGAGAAAAATTGCGAAACCATTCCGAGGAATATGCTAGAGAATTATGAGAATACGCTTGAAAAAAATCTCAAGAATTTTCCATCAAATTGGGAGTATGGAGAATTTTTCAATATTTTGCAGAGGTTTGTTTGTCACCCTGTATAGTCAGAGGTTAGCATGTATTTCCATCAGCGGTTTATCTGTCATATACCCAATGGATCAATCTTCAGAATAACGAAAACTGCATCCCAATAAGTGGAATTTTCGCGAAAATATTCAATTTTGAATTTAGAGCAAAAATGTGCTTGATGCGGTTCGATTGATCAGCGGTTTAGTAAAGTTTTCTTACTTTCTCGATTTGTTCCAAAATAACGGAAGCAAATGCAGTCATCGAGTGTTCCCGAATTCTTCTTTCATACACAACTGAACCATGTGCGACATGTTCTCTGGAGACGACTGTACTTACATCAGCCATTATTGATGGACTAACGCGCCATTTCTATGAATATAGGATATTTTGTGTTCGTTCATCAAAGCTATGTTTTACTGGGTAGGTCAGTTTTTGTAGCAGGACAGGACTAACAGCTCAAAGAGGATATAATTACGAGATGTTAGTCTCATGTAAACATTATGCTTATATATAGGAGACCATTTTTCGTTATATAAGCGGTGTGATATTTTCATTTTGTTGTTCTGGATTTTCTCAAGTTTTGCCACATCTCATTGAAGCTTTCGACTCATCCTGTGTATAAGAGATTTTTCCTCATTATTACATTTGTTGTTGTTTATATACCTAAGTATGATTGATTTATTTCATATATATGGAACAGGTCCGGAGAAAACCCAGTATTAAGGTGAAAGGTTCAACAGTGTAACACAGAAATAAACTGTTCATCGAAATCATCCATGAAGTGAAGTGCAAGATACGAAAATATGTTTTTGTTAATATTTGCGATGTTAGCATCAGTAATAGCATTCCTCTATTATCTGCTTCACATGAAAATGGACCACTGGAGGAAGCGTGGAGTACCTGGGCCCAGTTGTTATCCCATTGTTGGAAACTTTGGGGAAATGATCATGGGAAGACGAGGAATCAACCAAATATACAGTGAAATTTATAGGTAACTCAAAACTATTTCCATCTAGTCACTAATTGTAAAGTAGTGGTTTGCTTCCTGATCCAAGGTAGATTGTAGATTGTAGATTGTAGATGGGTCGTACAGGCTGAGAGACCTCTCGATCACTGCGACCTAGAAGATCTATTGTGATTACCCCTATCTAGTTTTGGTTCTCTAACCCTAGACTTCTGATGAAGCCTACGATTTTCCTGACGGTTGACTTTTCCACTTCAGCAGGGGTGAGATAGACCTGTTCTAGGTGGTTCAGCCTTTGGCGGACTAATACTTCACATGAGCAAAGTATGTGTTCCGCGGTTTCGGTCGCATTGTTACAAAAGCGGCAAGTGTCAGTCTCCGCCATAAAATCCTATCATGCTTGCCTCTTATTATTATGACAATGTCATCCGCATAGCCTTGAATATCGAAGCCAGCGGTGCTTAGTTTGTTGAGTAGGTTATCGACAACTATGGACCATAAAAGAGGAGACAGTACCCCTCCTTGGGGGCAACCTCTAGTGGCCTGTGCAGTTACCAAGCTGCTTCCCAGTGTAGCTTTTACTCTTCTACTCTAACAAAGCTATCAATTTCGGTAGTTCCATGAGGAAGAGGAAAATAATCTCTCAGTGGAAGGTGGAATACATCAGCTTCGGCATGCATCATTGGATATATCTATAAGACCCGTGCTCCGTGATCCGTGTCCAAGTTATCAAATTTCCTTTTTGAATCCCGTTGATCTTATGAATTTCCTTATGTTGAATTGATATACCTATATCATTCTTGAGACCATACCTTTGATATGCATTTTGGTTTGGTTAAAAATTGACAATTCAATGAGTAGGACTGGTGGATTATCTCATAGAAAACCCGCCACAAATAGAATTGAATCTCTTATGTCCCGTACCGATACTGTCAATGCCTACTGAAATAGTGAAGTTTCCAATCCGATAGATGGTATACAAGGTGTGTCACGACGAGCTTAGTATATCTTCATATCGAGAATCAGTCGGGAAAAATTCAGGAAGATGTGCACGCTTATATTTTGAAGAACGCTCTCTTCATTTGAAATATTTTCGACAATGCAGTGTTGAAGCTCCTACTAGAAAGTAGTAGCAACATTATATCTTGGGGTCGTTCGAAAAACATTACAGAGATATATAGGGTAGGTATATATAGGGTGATTATAGGGTGTTCAAAATCGATATTTTATGGATTTATTTGGGTCGAAACTATTCAGTATCTCAATCTCAACTTTTGATTTACTATTTACTGATATTTAATCGGAACAAAAACAGGGTGGTTCAAGATTCAGAATTATTATCTACCAGTACCAGTACCTGTTTGATACAAAATATAAGCCTGACACCAACTATTTACATCAATGGCCTCCACGTTCTTCACTGAACCATCGATACGAGACGAATTGGAATCAGTTCATCAGATTTTTCATTATAGTAATTCTTGATAAAAAAAAACAAGAGGAAATGCGATTGAATAAACAATCTTTTTTGTGCAGATTTCTACCCTGGGGTCGAAAATCTGAAATTCATGTGAGTCAATGAATACCAGAGGTGATACCTATACACTACTAGTCAACAAATACGTAATTGATATGTATTCCTACTCTCATAATAACTGAACATTTTTTCTTATAGGAGATACGAAGGATATCCATTTGTTGGCGTATTCAAATTCATGATCCCTGTTCTAGTTGTGAGAGATCCGGATCTTATAAAGTGCATAATGTTAAAAGATTTTGGGAGTTTCCAAAAGAATGATATGTTTGCCGACAAGAATGTCGACCCGATATTTTCCAGGAATCCCTTCGTTCTAGAAGGTTCAGAATGGAAAGCTAGAAGGGCAGAGATGATAAGCTGTTTGAGTCCTGCAAAGGTAATAATTGACACACCAAAGAATATTTATAGTTATACATATTTTTATCATACTTACTATAAGTGCTAATCACATTATTTTCACCACTTACTATTTCCTGATGGTGATTTTTTTTTTTTTTTATCGATTGGAGCGCACGAGAGGGAATCCCTATAATGTTCAAAGAACATCGTGCGTTCCTAGGGAGGATAGGGACAGGAGGTAGGTATTGAGATTTCACAGATGACATATTCAATTGAGAAAATATAACCATCTCTTCCATCGCCACTTATCCAATACCATCTTTGTCATACTCGTGTGTCTCACTACTATAACCCCCATCCATCCATCTTCATCATGAACTATAGTTCAGCCCTGGATGCGTTGAACTGATGAAATGTTTAACAAAGAGGCAGAAACCACAATAATTAATTGTTCATTAAAGGAACGGAAATGACAGATAGCGAGAAGAAACAACTACTTTCCTGGCTATATGCCACGCAGAACAGTGAATTCCATCCTTCCGAAATCTATGTGACGATTGGTATAGACGAATCAAGTGTTTCTTTCTCAAATGCCGCGATGTGCAGGAATGCTCGACTACCTACAGACCGGTTTCGAGCTTTGGCTCTCGTCAGTGCAGGGGTGTACCCATATGGCATTCATGACCGCAATCTGACCCAACGAAAAGACATCGTAGCATTTCATACCCACGAGACGTTCGATCACTGTGAAATGGGCACAACGTCATATAATGCAGAAAGGAATAAGAAACACTCCAAGACTGAAAATCTTCTGAATGGAATGAGAGTGGCGGTTTTTGAACTAGAAAAGTGCCATAATATTCAAAGTGAAATGGGATTACGATATACGGATGGTTGTATCGATTTCGGGAGGATGTAATTCAATATTCTCCATTGCAAATAGCTATAGAAAGAACTTAGTTAATTTTTTCAGTAATAAGTAAATTGAGTGCAAAGGAGTTGGTTACATACATACACACATACATATACATACATAAGTGTGAAGCTAATAAAATGGTGTTAATAATAATGATAAAAACTGACTCACTCTCTATAGTGTGATGCGATTTTCCGAAGAAATTTAGTAGTAATAGATACAGAACGGTTTACTGGTTTGTATATCCCTGAATAGAATTGGTTGAGGATCTGATTTGGCATAGTCTGTTCACGTTTTCCTATATAGATAAATGAAAAAATGAACTGAATACTGAATAACAAATGAAAATATGACTTCCAGATCAAAGATATGTTCGTAACGCTGGAGAAAAATAGCAGAAACATGGTCCACTACATAGACAAGCAACTGACAAACTCCAACTCCTTCGATGTAACTGACATTCTGAGGAGACTATTGATAGAAAATATAGCAGCTTGCGGTCTCGGCGTTGAGGGAAAATGTTTCGAACAAGAGATCTCTGAAGTAAAGAAAATGGCAGATTATCTTATTACTGCTGAAGGTCTGGATAGTTTCCTGATCGCATTCTGGGTCCATTTTCCACGATTTTCGAAGTTGTGCAACTTCAGGTGAGTGCTATAAAAATCTTATACATATACAATTTATTCATGAGGTTTGCGTTATATGGGAAGAACTTGTAATAATGATTTATTTCAAAATTCGACTTGGGCGTTGAGTTGTTCTTCAGATAGATGAAAAATGATCTTCATGGTCGAAATCACGCGACTTTCGCTACATGTCAAAAGTTGAATGTTTTCAATTCAATTGCTGATTTTGAAAGAGTTCAAGAAGAAAAGGTTTTCGTATAACAAGGGAGAAAAGTGCTACTTTTTCTCCCGAAGATGAAGGTGGTTATTCAAGGGAGGAAAAAGGACTTTACTCCCATGTTATATACATATGATTTTTTTGCCTTCCTCAAATAAATAGTTATTCTCAAATAATTTATTCATGATACCCACAAACAAAATTTTATGATGAACTAATACTAATAACTAGGTACAGTATGAATTATAGGCACGTCGTTTTCATTCTTGCATCCTACATATTTATCAAATGTGTTAGAGTATTTGGCAGATACAGGGTAATCAGAATTATGAATCTTGAACCACATCTGTTCCGATTAAATGTCAGTAGATGAATCGAGCTTTTCGAGGAAAATCTGAAAACGTAATGATATACAGGGTTTTTCTTAGAAAAATAACAACTTTGATACATTTCGTGTTTTTGAGGCAAGAAAATGTATACTTTGGATAGAGGTAGGAGAAAAAAGTTGTTTATAATACGATTTTACACATGTGCGTCGAATTTAAACGTTCTATTGCAAATTAATCGCTGAAAATAGGTTAACTTGTTCGAATTCTGAACAATTTTGAGATTAAAAGTTGTTTCTTTTTCAATTCCACACATTTGTGTCTCGAATTCAAACGTTCTATTGCAACTTCTAGTTATTGATGTTTTTGATTTCTTCTAATTGTCCTAAACTTTGGTTAAATACGAGAGGAAGTTTGATGATATATTGATATACGAATTTGGAATCATTATAGTACTGAAAAAAATCAATTTGAATGAATTCCGCTCCTGAATGATTGACGATAGGTACGTAAACTTTGCATCAAACATTACAGAAGTTTGAAGCGGGAATCATTATTTTTTCAGTGCTATCATATGTTTGTTGATAAAAAGTGGAGCTCAAGAGCGTGTCTACAAATAGTCATATTTCCGGAAACAGATAACAATACCTTTTTATTTCAAATCATGACTGTGTGCTATTTGTGTTATCACCTATACAATATTATGTATCTATAGTAATGAACTGATAATACTTCTGGTATTCATTATCCAGATCAAAATTCTTCTTTTGAAAGTGCACGAATTCATTGGTTCCCTCAACAGTTCTGACAAATTGTTGAAAAGCCTCTGGCCAATATATTTCTGAAATCTCCTGTACATAATTTATTCATCCATGTTTTGACACCGCTCCAGACTAACCCATCGGGAAAATATGCCTATGATGGCCCCCCTAAGGAATTTGCATCATAACTTTCTTATCATATGAGTTCATTCAATACTATTAAGTAACTCATCAACTAGTAATCAGTTGTTCTTCAATGTTTGCTATCATTATTATCACAAAAAATTCAATATTGTCATTTTAATGCATTTTCCTGAAATCCCCTATGTGGTCAATCATAGGAACTTTATATGCCCATGATGGAGCTTTTACGGTTCACATGTGGAAGCAGATTAATTTGTATCATTCAATTTTATTATTATATGAAATACTCAGCTCTAGATGAATGAAAATGAGAAGAATGCATAGAAAACTCAAAATGAAAGATGAATTCGAACACATAATCAGCTAACAAATTGCTTGCATGAACAGGAACGCAATTGGGGGTCCATCATAGGCAAACTAACGTATTGTTACGCTATTCGGGTGCAGAAGTGAACACGACACTATTCATTTCCGAACTGATACATTTTAACTAAGGGAACACTAATTTATATACAACTTATATTTACGTAAAACGATTTATATCACGCGGTATATGACTGTCTCTCTGATACTGGCTGCTTGTCTGCTGGCAGCTGTCCGGCCGTCCTTATATATCAGATCCCTTGGCAGGCTTTGCTTCTCGAACGTTCTCGAATGATCTTCCGTACCCTTCTTTTGTTCTAGAAGCTTCTAGAACAATATCTCTCTCTTTCTCTAATTGTTTCATCGATTGTTTCGAGATGATTCCAGATTTTTCTGTCAGGTTATATGTGTCGCCGTGACACATATTGGGTGTTCGGAAATACGCTGGTATATGTTTGACAAGTTTTACACCATAATTTTTTTTCCAGGATTTTCACCCAAGAAATCGAAGATAAGTTTATATCGATAATGAGATCGACTCTGAAATTCCGTAAAGATAATAACATGGTGGTGAATGATTTTCTGCAGGCTGCAGCACAACCTTACAGTGAACAAACGTTATCAACAGATTATGACATTGCTGCACATATAGCCAGTTTATTCACAGATGGTTACTTATCCACTGCAAATGTGAGTATTAGAAAGGAAAAAAGATTACATGAATTTGTGTTCCTCACGAAAAAATAAATGGACAATCATTAATTTTATGATAATGATCTCAGTTATTTGAGAACGAATTGAATAACAATACCATCTCGAATTTAGAGACAAAATCATCATATTTATTGATGAATTGGCTGTCCGCGTATATTATGACCACTACTTCTACAGCTTCGATTGTACGAATAGGAAAAACTTCAAATATAGAAGTTGTAGGATTTGATCTTAACTATCTTTTGACACTGATGCGAATCGCAAAATGATAAAAAACAGTCCGAATCAATTTCTTCAAACGAAACACCTTGTATATTTTCAACTCTAGTGGAAGATATTCTCCTCCTCGTCACAAATATAGTATATAAAGTCAACTGTGGATCCTGTCCTAAGATATATATCGGTCAGACAGGTCGTACGTTTAATCAGCGCATTCATGAACATAAGACATGTGAATTTTTTGAAAAAGAAAAAAAATGCAACATACGCAAACCATATATTAGAAGAAAGCCATAGTTTTGATGATAGTTTCGGTATTCTACACGAAGACAATGAAGGAATGAAAATCAATCATTTTGAGTCATTAGATATCAACCAACTCAAAAATTCTGACATTTCACTTAATGATCAATCAGACCACCGTTGAATTCGTTTTCTTAGTAGGTATGTATTTCCTATCAACCTTTTCAAGTTAATCCTTCACACCGTATTTCAATGTAGATATTGTGCCTAATTTCCGAAAATGAAGTTTTATCGAACCTGTCCACAGGAAACTAATCCTTATTCAGGTTGTGGAAGTAGAAAAAGTTAAGCAAGCCAAGGTTAGTATAGTTCATTGTATCAGTATATCACCTGACGAAGCTACTGTGTTAGCGAAACATGCCGTGGGTTTGAAAATTTTGTGGAAATCTTATCGTTTGTGAAGTTTTTACATTCGCCATGGATTTCTATCATGTAACAGCCGAGTCATTCCAAAATTTGTTCGATATATTTCTCTTGTTCATTATTTCATGTGATCTCTATGGTCGAGATAATTCAGAGGAAAATAATATCTTCAAGAAGTGAAAAATACAACGAAAGAGTCAGTTAAAAATTAACTACATATCTCCACGTAATGTCGACGTCGACGGAACGTTAGCATTACGTCATTGTGTGATTTCCAGCTTCATTATTTGTTATTTGTATACCTACTTGATTTCTAAGTGTTTATGACATAATCTTTTCCTTGACTTTTTTCAGTCGATGGCTTTCATATTATTCGAATTGGCAGTGAATAAAGACATCCAAGATAAACTGAGAGCCGAAATCATTGAATGCTATGAGAGAAATGGTGGTAAATTTGATTATGAAGATACAATGAGATTAGAATACCTGGAAGCATGTATCCATGGTAAATATAAACTATATAATTGAATGATATTAGACGAAGCGCACCTCAATGAGATGAAAAACAAATCAGTCTTCTTTGTATATGGTTATCTACGTATAGATGTCAGTCGATGAAAAAATCAGATTTAGATGTGTATTGTTTTTTCAGAGGGCATAAGAAAACATCCCATAGTGCCAGTGATACCCAAAATATGCACAGAAAAATTCACTTACTCCCCTACCAATCCAGAATACAAGAACTTATCAGTTACAATTGAACCTGGAACATCGATTTGCATACCAGCATACGCGATTCACCATGATCCTAAATTTTTTGAAGATCCAGAGAAGTTCATGCCAGAAAGATTCATGATCAAGAATGGGATCAACAAATATACTTATCTAGGGTTTGGAGTTGGTCACAGGATGTGTATAGGTAGGCATTCATCTATCTCTGTTTAAACTAGAAAATAGTCTATATGACTATGGAATACAACAAAACGAAAAATTTCAGATGTTAACATAATTGATTGGTAGAAATATCACCTTCATATTCACGGTAGATTTCTTGCAGACAAACAAAAAATAGCTTCTTCCAACAACAGGATTTCAGGAATGTTGTAATATTGTCTTCCAGAAAAATGTTTTTATTACTGAATTAATTGAAACGTGTTTGAATAGTAATATTCAGCCTGCTTACGGGTGCCTTAAGTTGCCACATATACTCAAGTCGACGATTACTATCTCTTGATTCAAAGAAAATTGTGTGATCAATTACCAGTTTTATCTAATTTCAACTATCACGATATAAAATATGGTCAATGTATCGATACTCCTTTGACTGTTATCGAATTCAAAAAAATGCAAAACAACTGCACTAGACTGATCCGGGGGTTACGTAGATCTGATCACAACACTGAATATATTCCATCTCTGGGCTGGCTTTTCATGAAAAAACGTCGTCTTCTACATGCCACTACTGCTTTCCATAAGATTATCAATGAGAAACGTCCCTACTACCTTTATGAAAAAATAGAATTTCGTCATCAATTGCATAACCTCAATATAAGGAATCTTGCTACTGTGAACATCCCACACTACTCCACCAGTAAATTTAAAGCATCTTTCTCCTACCAACTACCACAAATTCATAATGCTGTAGATGATAACGTTAAATATCTGAGCATCAATTCGTTTAGAATGAAGCTAAAAAAGAAAAGTAAACAAAGAACACAATCTACCTAGATGCACAGATTACTTCTACATTTAATATTTCCACAGCACAAAAAATACAAAAGTGGAGAGTTATATTAATAATATGAATTAGATTCTGTTTGTTCTCTTGGAAGATATTTTGTGATACCTATACTTATTATACATATATGCACTTAGGTTAAAGTGTGAGAATAGCTCTTTGTATAGCTGAACTTTCGCCTAATGAATTCCTATTATTATTATCATGATTATTATTATTATTACTTATTTGGACAAATAAAATGAGGTCATAATTTTTTTTCAAGTTAGACTAGCCCATAAAGATTCATCAATTCAGAATTGAACATTTTTGTTTCATGATTTTTATGTTGTATGTAGCTCTCTTCTCGAGAAATGAGAATGAAACACATTGTAATCATGAATTTACAGTTATATCTGCTTGAAAACTTGGGTCAATACATATATCCGAATGTGGAAATCTTCACAAACAGTAAACTTCATTGTATAAGTATCTCATCAACTGAAGAAGCTACTGTATACATGTCGTGTGATTAAAAATTTTGTGGAAATCTTATATCGTTTGTGAACATTTTGACATTTACTATGGAAGTAACGACCGTCAATTTATAAAATACATATATTTCCCAATCTTCCCCAAATATGCGCCATCACAGTAATTTTCTCACATTTCGAAATAAATGATCTCGATACTTATATTGCATGTTTGATTTTTTCAGGTTCTCGTTTTGCTATGACCCAAATGAAAATTGGCCTGGCACATTTCATCAAAAACTTCGAGGTAAAGACTAGTCCAAAAACAAGATATCCGCTCAAATATGACCCCTGGTACTTCGTTTTATCTGTACGTGATGGTATATGGGTCGAGATACAAAATCTTCAAGACAAATGATTCAATGACTTCGAATATTATAAAATTTCATATCTGAAATAAAATGAATATATCTTTGTTGTGGTATTATTGTCGAATCATTCTCATGTGTATCATCCCGAAAAGAACAGCTTGACCATTCTAGCTTGGCCTCTGAGATGCGCAAATGATAAAGAGAGATGATAAGTGTGCGACAAAGATCCACTACACCTTTTTATTGAAGAGTACAATCGTACTGTACCTACTGTTCTATAGAGCCATCAATAAATGGCAGGAAGAATGGAATCAAACAACAAAAGGTAGAAACACATTTGGCCTGATAAAGGATTTAAGGACCTGGTAGAACATAAAGCATGTTGTTCTTGGGAGAGCAACAATCTCCTTTCTCACTTCATATGGAGTGTTTAGGTGCCATATATAATATAGAATTGGTAAAACTATAACACCAAACTGTAGACTATTCGAGGAAGCATGACAAGAAGTCAGACGCATAGTGGGTTACCCCAGACCAGAACCTGAACAAATTATACAAGACTTGGGGGAAACTTTAGTGTCCTATGAGTAATTCTCAGGTTTCCATTGCAAAATAAATAATTAAATGAATGTTGAGAAATATGAACACTGGTTTCTTTTATACTCAGTATACTGTAACTTGAAGTGTAAGATATGACGTATGTGGTATTGTTGAACTCAGAAAAATATGGGCTTCCAATTTTTGATATGAAAATATACCCTTTTGATTTAAAAAAAATATCGATGACGTCATATCTTGTAAGGTGGTGGGGAAAAAAATTATTTTTCTGTAAAAAAAGATGGAAGACTGAAATACAAAATCGACCTGTCCGAGCTTTACCTCTGAAAATAATTATATCGTAAGATAATGGAGCGTTTCCACACTTTATGAACGCACTGTATAATATCTGAAGTCATGCCAGAATGTGTAGTACTTAGGACATCCGATAGATGTCTCTAGAGGCACGTCTGAAATAATATCCCATCAGAGACATGCCAAGGACGTCCTTGCATGGACATTGTTCAATATGTAACACGTGGGACTTCTAAAGGATATTATTTCTATTATTTCTCGGACATATATTGCATGAGATGTACAGCATGGGACGTCCCAAGGACAATATTAGTGGCTAGAATATCGGTTTGCCATTGGTTGAAACAAAGAAAACGTCAAATTTTGACATGTGAAGAAAATAATCGATACTAATTGTGTAAGAAATTAACGTGATACAATTGTTTCGTAATCCCCCGATTCCACAGTACGAGGGATGTCACCTCAGAGCAATATGATCAAGTATGAGATTTCTGACATAATTTTTGATAGTATTATGAGCACTTGTTGTATTTATTGAGTCAATTCCACGACCTAAGGGACTAATATCTTTATATCATACCATCAGCAGACAAGATATATTGTTCTATGTTGTGACGACTAATAGTCTTGCTGGACCTAAGAGACAAAGCATCGTATAGTATCGAGGCAGGCCATACTGTTTGGTTCTTATTTTGCATGTCGTTTCATAGGTTGTGGAATTGTCTAGATTATTCAGAATGTCGTGATATTACTGTTGATAATTTGTTTCATGGAAACAGAAAACTATCCGAGTCTACATCAATATCAGTTTTGGGGTCACAAGTTCGAATTTTTATAATTTTGCAATGTAAAGAACGCGATTTATAATCTGAAGTAAACATCGATTCATCTCACTGGAAATACCCGAATATCAAACCAAAATAGTTATTTATTATACAAGGGAAAAAAGTAGTAGATTTTAGCTACAGCTTTTGTTGTTTTCTGACGCGTAGCGGAGGGAGACAAAATACCGTGAGCTAGGATCTGATATTTTTTCCGTCTATAATACACAATTTTTTTTGTGACAGGCAAAAAGCTGGGTCATTATTGGGCAGATATCACATTATATCTGAGTCAGAAAATTATCGATGTGAAATTTGAAGTTTTCAACAGAAAGTACACCTGCGTTGCAGGCATCTTCTTGAAGGCATCTCTATTATTCTCTTGAAGTTATCGAAAATCTGTTAGCCCAATTCTGTGATTTAATTTCGGAAATTCTAACTTTCAAGGTCAATATCCCCGTAACGAAGAGCGATAGAAATTTTTTCATTATTTTTGGTCATTCTATTAACCCTTTCATCATGTACGACATGACCTTTCTGGACATAGATAGTAAAATACTATTGGAATTATTTTTTTTCACTACTGCTATGAGAAGTAGCGCATTTCTCATAGCTTACTCAGTTTCAAAACCAAGTATTGCTCATACTGTGAGAAACATTTTTTCTCACGGCACTTTGCCCACACCACATTCATTTCCATGGAGAATCAACAAAAATCGACCAAAACTCAATTGGCTGGTGTTCAACTTTGAATAGTTGTCACAACTGTCAGAAGAAGTTTTTTCAATTCTTCAGAGTAGTTCTCATTAATGCTCTTGATAAAAATCACAGTTTCCATCAAACATTATTCCCACAATTCATAATAAATAGTATGATGTATAAACCGAGATATGACGATTTTGATAAATATACCGCCAGAGGCAGAGATAATGAAAAAAGCTGCGGAAATTGAATTTGTTTCCGAAAATTTCAAGAAAAAAGTATGAATTGGCATATGAGAAAGATTCATGGAATCTAAAAAGAGAATATGAAAATAAGATCTTTTTCGGAAAGTGTAATTTTTTGAAATACTCTGAGGAACTAGGAAAAGTGTCTACTCTTTGGTCACAATATTCAATGTGCAATGGTGTCACATTATAAAATGAACAGCAATAAGTTGCATTACTAGGATTCTCTGGATCAGTGCAGTTGTAGAAAAAGTATAGTGTGCAACATGTGGGGAAAAGTACTTTTCTCACTCATGTAATTGCATCACTCGCCCTTCAGGCTCGTGCCACAAACTTTCACACTCGTGAGAAAAGTTGAACTTTCCCCACTTGTTTCACAATATACCTACTATTGAAAAGCTCATTCGACCTACTGTATTTTTTTGTACAATTTCCTGTACTTGAATAATGTTTGACATATGTACGTAAGGAATTAACCTGGAATGAAATATACATGCATGCCAATTTTCATGCCTTCTTTCAGATGGACCCATAAATTTTGCCGTACTATGAAAGGAATACCTTCAAAAATACCCAGTGAGCAATGATCATCCAGTAAATTCTGAATAATTGATCACATTCCTCTTTATGTTTAAAAGCATGCCATGGCAGAGGTTTCAGACCTTTCATATCTGTACTGATAATGAAGCAATTACGATTGAGATTTCAATATACTACTTATCGACAATACTTAGTTGATTTGGTAAGTCAAAAGAGTCAAGATGTTTCTGATTCTGTTGGTGATAATACTGGCTCTGGCATACTATTTGTTGTACCGGAATTTGGACTACTGGAAGAAACGAGGCATTCCCGGACCGCGCCCCTACCCCATTGTTGGCAATTTGGGAGATATTATTACAGGAAAACGAGGAGCAGAAGAAATATACACTGATATCTACAGGTATGATGTTAACCCTATAAAACATAACCTTCGTTTCAAATCTGATCTGAATATATCAATAACAAAGAGTGGAAACGTTTGCAGACACATATGACCTGAATAATTCAAGTCCATGAAATATTGATGATGAAGAATAAACCTGAATATTCACATTATGATAAGTTATACCAAGTAGGTGATGACGTTATGTACTATAATGACTTCAAATTGACGGTTCAGACGATGACGGGAGTAGTATATCCCTAATTATTTGAAAAAAAACATCTCCTAAGTGAAACTCAGATCACCATTTTTTTTTATGCTCTATCTACCTTCAAAGTTTCTCAGTTAGGTAAGAGCACACAATTTTTCGAACATTTTCATCTTATTCAAGTTTTGATTTAGGAAATACCCTGTAGGTACACATTTTTGAATCATCTAATATACGGGGTCGCCACGTTTTAAATGGAAGTTACCAGTGGAAACCCATTAAAAAAGTGGCCACCCTGTAGATCAAATAGTTTCACGAAGTTGATTCGAACAAATTCTCTTTCCACATAATCAGTATTCTCCTGAACTATATGACATGATTCTTGGGGTACTACAAGGGTCAGTACTTGGACCACTTCTGTTCTCAATTTTCATAAATGATCTTCCCTATTATATGAGCAGAGGGTACACAATCATATTCGCTGATTATACAACTATCATTCTCTCGGCATCTAATATTGAAGAACTTCAAGATAGTATGAAATTAGTGTTAGATGAAGTATCATCCTGATGTGATAGAAATAAACTCATCCTGAATGAATCTGAGACGAGGAGGTGAAATATGTTTTCTGAAGATATTGTTCTGTCGTGTGATTATACAAAACTTTCAGGAACATTCATAGACAGGACAGATCTTTATCTTGGAATATTCACATCGACCATAATATCTGTAATAAACTGGAGCAAGTTTTTTTGCACTTTTAGAACTTCGCGGTATTTTGAGTGTCCCGAGTGTCTCGTATCTGTATATTCTGAATCGACATATTCACATATATTCCAAAATGTCCAGATTTAGAAGGAATCTATCTGAAAAAGAATTGTGAGGCTGAGGCAAATGTAGATCCACTTTTATTGACGAAAAATATTCACCATGTCCTGCATTCACATCTATTAATGCTTATTACATGCAAAGAATTACCAGTTATATTGTATATTTTTTCATGTTTTTTTCACACGTCTCTTTGTTAGTATATATATAATTATATATACATATTGATCCATATGATCATTTTTTTTTTCATCAAAATAACATTTTATTATAATTTTGTTACCTGATATTGACCAGAAGGTAATGATATTACGGTAATTCTTTGAGATAAGTTTATATTTGACTTGCTGTATATGTACATGTACAGTCGCCTTCAAAGATCATGTCGCACATGGACGGTGTCAGCTCCCTTGATCACTGCGGCAATAAGATCGCTTATACCGTCCAACCGTGACATGATCGCTGGAGACGACTGAACATGAACCTCAAATCGAGTATTATCAATATTATTATTATTATTATTACAGAAAGTACGAAGGATACCCTTTCGTCGGAGTATTCAAATCAATAATTCCAGTTCTTCTCGTAAGAGATCCTGATCTCATCAAGTGCATAACCCTCAAAGACTTCCCGAGCTTCCAGAACAATGACATCTTCGCAGACAAAAGTATTGATCCCATCTTCGCCAGGAATCCTTTTGCTCTTAGAGGAAATGAATGGAAAACGAAAAGGGCACAGCTGACCAACTGCTTCAGCTCTGGAAAGGTAAGACTTGATATTTCATACGGCCTGCATTCTGTAGTCTTCATAGTGCCTTGTATTTTCATAATGTGTTTTGTGGTGTTTCTGATTCTCCATCGATTCATGGTACCTATTCTGTTTTGGTGTCAATCAGTTGATAATCATCCACTGGATCCTAGTTCTTCAGGTATTTCTCTTCAGTATAAGTTCCTTCATATTGTACGTTGTACCTTCCTCTAGTATCCACTTGTTATCGAGAGATTACTTTGGTATTCCTAGTTGGCTCACGCTCCGAGCTGCTCATCTTTGCATTCCAGTGCCAAAATCAATTAATGGAATTGATGATTGTTTTCTCGAAAGAAACATCGTGCTTTTTCACAGTGTTTGCCTGTTCCAATATAATGATGGAAATATCCTGACAAATTTCGAAATTACTATTATTTCACTTCATTGAAAGAGAAAACTCCAAGAATATTTTAGTGTTGATCATACGTGAGAATATGAGTACCTATGTGTTTGACGCATCATGATGGCCTGAATTTTACAAAGTTTTCTATCATGGTCATCAAGTAATCTAAATTCAGGAGTTGATAAGACCTTCAGATACCTATACCAAACTTAGAGTTTTCCCAAGTTTCAACATAAAGTACTTTCGTCTTCAAAATTGAAAAATCATTTCATATTTCTAAGAGATTAATTCGGAGACTCTCTTCTTTGTCACTTATGGTTTTCGCAAAATTACACATTGATACCCCGACTCTGAATGGAAACACTGACACCAATTCAAAGCCTTCTGTGACCGATGTTCGTGGAAAGTTTTTTTTCCAAGATGAGGTTTTACCAGACCCCTACCTCTAAACTTGATTGGACTAAATATGAATCACATACTTGGAACACACGGACAAACAGAAAGCACACTCTACAACACGATGTCGACTAAAACACGAACAAATATGTATAAAGAGAACTGAAACTATGCATTTCATCAAAATATGAACTACTGCATAGAGACTCGTTGTCCAATACGAGTAGATTCGATAGACTCTTTCACATTTTGAATAATACTCCTAACCAAAACAGATTGATTGCCGCCTCATCAGATTTCCAAAAAATGTACTCGCATACCATTCTCTCTCTTTCCACCTATATATCTTTCCTCCTTCCTTCGAAATTCTTCAGATTAAAGACAAATACATCAATATCAATCAATATCAATATAAACATACAACTCGAACTAGGCACACTACTAAATATGATTTTGAAACAATATAATATACTTATCTCACAATTATGTTACATACTAGTTGACACAACAAACGCTGTTTTGCTATATACATTATTTCGAGAAAATATTTTTTAAGTTACATATTCAACAGCACACTTTTATCATCTCATTTTTTTCTACTTCTTTCCGGTTTGGTAATCTATATCTTCAGTCTTCTAAACAACCTACTATTTATTTTTTCTTCTTTTTAGTTTGGATATCTTCAGGGTGTTTGGGTCACCGACGTGTATCTGAAAGGGGGTGATGAGTTTGAACTTTTCTACATGTCTTACCAAATACTATTATACAAAGAGTTTCGAATTTCGAGATATCTTCGTTTATTCAAAAATGTCATCCGATTAATCTATGTAAACAGTAAATAGGATCTAACGTTATGAATACATTCGGCTCATTAGAATTCGAAAAACGATTCTAGTCACCCAATTCCGAATTCGCAAGAGATGAATTCCCGAAAAGTCTAGCACTTTGTATAATAGTATATATGGTTTAATTTGTCCAAAATTAGATAAACTACCACTGCCCTTATACGTCGGTAAACCGAACACACTGTATATAGCGTGTTCCTTTACTTGTTCAAAACACTATTCATCACAAAGCTCATTCGACCTATTAACTACGCCATCTTGAATTTTCTAAAAATGTAATGTAAAATTTGTATCTGCAGGTTTTCGGGATCAGAGATTACGATTCTTTCGTCAAAATTTTGAAATTTGGGATGGCGGATCCAATATGGTGGTACCTGCGGGATTTTGAAATCAGAGATCATGATTCTTTCGTCAAAATTTTGATATTCTGTATGGCGGATCCAATATGGCGGAAGAGTTTTGTTATAGTCCGATTCTATTCGAAATTAGTATCTGAAGGTTTTCGAGGTCGGAGATAATGATGTTTGCGTCGAAATTGGGAAATTCAAGATGGTGGATCCAATATAGCGAACGATTTCTTAATTATGATCCGAATCTATTCTAAATTGGTATCTGAGGGATTTCGGGAACGGAGATTATGATTCTTTCATTAGAATTTGGAAATTCAAGATGACGGATCCAATATGGCAGACGAGTTTTTTAATTATCATCCGATTCAATTCAAACTTTGAATTTGGGGGTGTTCGGGGCTGGAGATCATGATTCTTTCGTCAAATTTGGTGAATTCAAGATGGCGGATCCAATATGGTTGACGCTTTTCTGTGATTTTATAATCCAATTATATTCAAAGTTGGTATCTGGAGGTTAACGAGGTCGAAGATTATGATTCTTTCGTCAAAATTGGGTTCTTACGAAAAATATGATAACAATAAAAAACACGCTCTTGAAGTTAACCGAGATAAAAAATAGAAAGTAAATAGTTTTAGTCAAATTGACTAGAGAAACACTTTTTCATAGAAAACCAAGGAAATGAAATAATATAAGTGTGCTGATGAATACACAACATGGAATGTACTGATTACAGAGATGCTTATATTTTCTTTGTTGTGTATTTATCAACACACTTTTATCATTTCATTTCCTCCTCTCCAGTTTGGATATCTATGAAAGGGTGTTTCTTCAGTCCTTCGAAATACCATTTATTTATGGAGATTACAGTGGACATTTAAAATACCAAGCTCTGCTAAGGTGAAATCCCCTTAGTCCCCTTTGTCTTCATAGTTGCTAATACTCGCTTATTCAAATGTATAGGTCATGTAACAATTGAAAGTACCAATTATTTCTTCAAGACAATATAACTGTGCAATAATCAATCGTCATTCGGAAATTGATAAAATAATTTTTCTATTCCAAGATCAAGGCTATGTACCCAGTGGTAGATAAGAACAGTCAGAACATGGTGAGATACATAAACAACGAGATGAAGACTTCGAACTGTTTCGATGCCAGGGAAATTTTCGTCAGGCTCATGTTGGACAATGTTGCCGCATGTGCTCTGGGGATCGAAGGGAAATGCTTCGATGAACCTTACTCTGAAATCAGAAGGATGGCAGACAACTTCTTCTTTACGGAAGGATGGTCCAGTTTGAGGTTCATTCTTTGCTTCAATCTGCCTCCACTAGCTAATTTCTTCAAAGTGAAGTAAGTTTCAATCGTGAGAGACATGAGATCACCAATATTCATAAAACTTTTTTTTTCGAATTGGAAATGTTACCATCGAAGGTATCCTAATCTATCTCTTCAGCTTTCTGAACTACCTACTATTTATTTTTTACTTCTTTTCAGTTTGCCTATCTACAGGGTGTTTTGGTTCACCGACGTTTATCTTGGTGCACTATAATTGATCAGATTTTTACTAACCTTCCGGGTACTGTTGTATGTGTAGTTGATAATCATATATCACGGAAAAAAAGGAATTGTTGAATCGAGCAAAATTTAATTGAATGAAGCAAATAAAAGTGTCATTTATGCACGACGAAATTTAATCTTGGAATGAGTAAATCTATATCTTGTTTCAGAGCGATTTTGAAGTTTGAATTGAGTAAATATGTCTTGCATGAACTCAAGAACTTATTCAATCGAGCACATCCATGAAATTTTTATGAAGAGATATTGAATTGACTCAAACAATCATTTTGTTTGATTCATTGTAGCAAGATATTGATTCAATCAGATATCTATAGTTGATTCAATGAAACATTTGGTTGATTCAAATAGATACTCGGTTGACTCAATGAATTATTTGGTTTATTCAATGAAATATTTGGTTAATTCAATGAGATATTTTGTAGAATAAATGAAATATTTCGTTGATTCTAGGAAAACTGTGTCCATTCGACAAATTGTTTTGTTGAATCAAATTCAGTATTAATTCGGGAATTTTCTGAAATTTTACATCAATAGAATAAACAAAACTAGGAAACTAGTTGACTTCTAGCATAGACCATCATAATTTCGATTTATCCAGGTGATATCTCAAACACGAAGAGTCAGGCTTCACGTATATAATGAATTCGAGGCAGGTATAGACGAGGCGAAATGATCGCCATCTAGAGACGAAAATTTTACATGATGTAGAATGAACAAAATATTTCATTGATATTACATATTTCGTTGCTCTTTTCGAGCAAATGATCCGTTCGAACGAGTTCATTGCTACATCGGAATAAGAAAACTTGTATGTTGTTTCAAACATAATGTATTCTCATCAAAATGATTATTATTCGATCAAATCAACTGAATGTTCATAGTTGAATCAACATTGACAATATTTTGGATCGACATAATTTGTTTTTGAGAAAACCATATATTTTGTTGATGGAATTGATATTATACTGTTGATTCAATTAGACTACATTCTTGATCAGAACAAGCTGCTTCCATGAAATCATCATGTATTTGGTTGATTCAACAAAAAAATTGCTCAGTTCAACAAAAATAATTCAAGCATAAATAATTTGTTGATGCAACTAATATTTTTTTCGTGTATGTAAATATGAGATTACACGTAACTCTTCTTCAAAGTGAAGTAAGTGTCAATCCTGAGAGACAAGAGATCACCAATATTTATAAGACTTTTTCGAAATGGAAATTTTACCGTCGAAGGTATCCTTGGTTTGTCTCTCCATTCGAAACAAAAATTGGTTCGTTTAATTTATGTTCATATTGACTTTGAATCTTGTTTCATCGTCAATATGTTTCAAATCATAAGGTGATATATTAAATGAAATTATTCCGTTGTGAAATACTGATTTTTGCCAATAATGGAGTTATATGGGTTTGCTATTGATGAATTCAACTGTCTCGTTTCATGAGTATGAATTGTATTTACTTCAGTAAAGTTCGAGTTGGATTTTTTCATTTTTTTCCTCACAAAATGAATAGAAGAAAAAATTTTCATTTTATATAAATATGATAAATTCAACAGATTTTTTTGGTTTGTGAAGATTAATAGTAGTTGGTTCCAGGTAATGTAAATTGTAAATGTACTAAATTATTTTATTTTGTAATTTCATTAATGGTTCCAAATGTGATATACCTGTGCTTCTCCAAATTGATATTGATTATCGTATTTTGTGTAAATCAGAGAAATATATATTCTTCAAATATCTAAGAGGAATGAAATTTCGAATTTTGTGTGAAATGCCAGTGATTGGATTCAGCTTTTTTCTCAGGTGATCTATGTGTTTAGTCATTTTATGGCTTTCTGGTAAAAAAATATTGTTGTTCTCGATATATCAGTTTTTCAGTTTTTCTTTTTGAAATATACCTATATACGTAGATTTGTCATAGTTAAGAGTCAGCTTATGAATTTGTAGCTAAGATGATAGCATTTCCAAGTCAATTTTTATATCATCAACTATAAGTATATCATTAAATTCTTCAGAGGAATAGATCATTGCAAATAACTCCAGATCTCTTTTTAGTTTCGAAGATTATATTGAATTGATGTAAATTGAGAATAAAATTGGACCTAAAACGGAGCCTTGTGGTACACCCTTATGGAGCTACAAATATTATTGACTTCAACACACTGCTTTCTATTTTCCAGATAATTTTTCAACCAATCGAATATTTTTCCTCCGATACCTATCGAATATATTTCACTCAGTAAAATATCATGATTTACAGTATCGAGAGCTTTACATAAATCTAAAGACAAGAGACCACATTTATAATATTGATCAATTTTAAACCGAATATCCGAAATTACATCAATAACTGCTACCTCAGTGTCCTTCAAGAATATATGATGACTTACTTAGTATCAACAATCAAAATATTTTTTTTCAGAGTTATAACACAAGAAGTTGAAGACACCTTGATGTCGATAGTGAGGTCAACATTGAAGTACCGCAGAGAAAACAACATAGTTGCGCACGATTTCTTGCAATCTGCGTCACAACTAGACAGTTCACAAAGCATTTTCAACGATGTAGATATCACTGCCCATGTTGCAAGTTTCTTCACAGATGGATATGAAACCAGTTCTAGGGTGAGTATATGGACAGCATGAATTAAAATGCACCAAAAGCTATCACTAAACATTTCAATTTCAATCACATAGCTATACTTACCTACTAGTTGGTTGATTAATATTGATTGAGCTGTGAGTCTGTACGCTCTGTAGGTGTCTAGCATGGCCTGGCTGAATCGAAAGCAATATGTATTCGGAAAAGATTCACTTGTATCAGAATTCGTTTATGCGAGTCGATGCATTGATTTCGGAAGGATGTAATTCAATGTTCCGCGTGGCATCAACCAGGAAAGCAGTGATTCACACGAGACCAACGAGACGAGACTTTCATAAAGTCTCGTCTCGTCTCGCCGATTAAATATGAACTTTCTCGAGTCACGTCTCGCAGCCTCCAGTCTCGTCTTGTCTCGCGTCTCGTACGAGAGTCTCGCAGATGTATCGCAATTTCGTCATGCATAATCTTGTTCCAGTCTAGTACGCGATATTCAACTTTACCTTCTTTCTAGGTATAATGTAGATGTAGGAAGACAAAATTACAACAAAAATAACATTTTTTATTGAGAAGTAAGTACCTTATACATACTTACATCATACATCTTAACAAGAAAACTGAAGTAGCCGGTATGCTTAAGAGATCTAGTGCCATCAAACTCAGAATAAGAAATTCAGAAGCATGAATTTTCAACCATTGCAATATATATGTGTTTTTAGAACACCGAGGCACAGAATAATATTTTTGAAGCTCCTGTACCCATACTCCCGTCAAAACAAAGGTATTCTTCATCTTAGACTATTTAACACAGAACGACTGAATTATAGATTTTCAGGTAGTCATTCAATTTGCTATCTGTCGTTATTGCAGAATTGCCTTCATTTTCCGCCCCCATAAGAGATCATGGATTTTGTTCTTGAAGTATTTATGAATGGAATATTTTGTCTATCTGTGCTAAATAATCTGAATTATTTCTGAAGATGTTGTATTATGAATTAACTTCTCAAGTCTGCAGTCGGCACGCCGAAATATTTACCTGCGAGACTCTCGCACGAGACACGAGAAGTCTTGTACGAGACTCGAGACGAGACCAATGAAATTCTCGTCTCGTCTTCTCCGAGGCTCGTCTAAAGTCTTGTCTCGAAAACGAGACGAGACCATGCGAGACTCTCGAAAACGAGACTCTCGTGGACACCACTGGAAAGTAGTTCTTTTTCTCCCGAAATCTAGATAATTTCATGGACATTTGTGGAAATGACTTCGAGCTTTTTGTATTTATTTGAAATTTCATTCCACTCTGAGCTTGTGACTATTTCGTAGTTGAAATCACGCCAGTCGGTCAACCAGCCACTACCGTATGGGAATTTCAGGTTTGGAGAGTTTTTTTTCTTCTTTCCTACTCAGATGGCGTTGCTTCCATATTGTCTATGGGAGACGCCTCTGAGGGAATATAATGCCGACTTGATTTTTGTTTGGCTAGGCTACGCTTAGTCGACGGTCTTAGGACTGCTGGCTGGAGACTGCCCTGCACTTATGAGAGTCATAGAGCTCGAAACCAGTCTGTAGATGTCTAGCGTGGCCTGGTTGAATCGAAATCAATAGGCTATCGGGAAAGATTCCCTTGTATCAGTATTCGTTAATACGAGTTGATGCATAGATTTCGGGACGATATAATTTAATGTTCTGTCTGTCATTAGCCAGAAACGTAGTTATTGTTCTCCCGAGATCTACCATTGTTGTTCATTTTATAAACATTGATTGGAAATGAGTTTGAGCTTCTCGTATTCATTTAACATGATTTGGTTCAGTCGTACAGCCGAAATCGTGATGTATGTATTTTTTTTCCAGACAACAGCTCTATTGATTTTTGAATTGGCATTGAACAAGGACGTTCAACAAAAACTGAGAGCCGAAATAGTTGAGGCTTATGAACAAAACGGAAGGCAGTTCGATTATGAATCCATCATGAAATTGGAATATCTCGATGCTTGTGTTCACGGTAAGAACAAATGATTTAGATAAGATAGTTCTCAATGAGGCAAAAATGAGAGACATGAGTATGGACCCCTCAAAATAGTTTCGTTCAAACGTATCTACATTTCTCAGTTCATTAGTTCTATTTCCAATGCTCACATTTTCAACATCCTCAAATGGAAAAAAGTACCTACTTATTCTTGTTTATTGTCGTTGTTATGAACCATTTTCTATGAACACAATAATATCAATCAATTTCTTAAATCTTATTTGTCGTCACTGTTGAGACCGTTATCATGGTACGAAACAAACGAATAGATATCCTGCAGTTCAGAACTTGCCATTGATCCCCATCAAGCTCGATACTCATTCACATATATTTGAATACCTACTTGGGAAGATACTGAAACAAAACGATTCCTAGTATCGTTGATATAGGAATTCGCCATATAAATATTCCAGGTCCTATCTGAATCCGAGAGATCTTCCTCATTTTCTTGAGTACCCTGTATACACTATGTTATCTCAAGGAAATGAAAATCATACTGAAATTGCTCCACATATAAGTAGGCACATCCTTCATGAAATGTTTGTTATTATAGGTTAAAGATCAATTATTTGTTTAATCAATCAAAATAGAAACAACGTTATACAGCTAACAACTATAGTTCACTTCCTTGAATTCTTTCCTATCAGTTCAAGATCATTCAAGAAGTTATTATTGAGAGGTTATTGGAAGCGTGGGATTAGAAAGGGTAGACGGAATAAGTTCCTAGCTATGCAGTGCTGTCAACTCAGCCATTTTATGGCTAGTTCTAGACATTTTTCAACCCATCTAGCTACTAAAAATCGCATTTAGCCATTTAGCCATTTTTTCTAGCTATATTTTATTCTGAATTTTTATAAAAATATTTGTATTATCATCATTATCATTGTATTCACTATCTGATATAAGTCAAATTTTAACCAGTCTGTATTTCTATGGATTTTGTACTCCATACTTTGTGTCATTTTCAAAACTTGGGTGCGTTTTTGATTTCAACATTTTGTCATGCGCATTAATCGAAGAAACATTGACGTTGACGTCATCACATTATACGTCATACGTCGATGTCAATTCTACTAGGTCAGTAGAATCTAGCTCAAGATCTGAGCTCTAGACACAAATTTATAATGTCAGAATCGTAGTGCATAGTCTGATTTTTTGTTTTTGCTAGAAAAATTGCGAAAAATGGCTGGATTAGCCAAAAAATGGCTAGAAATGTACTGGCGTATCTTTTCTGATATTCACTACTTAGAGGCAATTGAAGAGCCCTGTGGAAATAATTCAAATGCATCGATTATTTCAAATCCCAATAACTCAATTAAACAGTTGATCGCAGCGACCTATACCAGGAATATATTTTTTACACAAAAATGTTCTAGAAAACTATTATCCTACTATAAAACGTGATACAGGTACGCACAAGAAAGTTATGACACTTCAAAAGACTCAACAGACATGTTGGTGGCGCCACCCCCACGAAAGAGACAACATTACATGAAATTTGATATTGTAATTGAAAAATACCCCTAGATACAAAATTTTATTCCAATATCAGAATTATTGCGAAATTTATTACCAAAAAACAAAAATAAGAATTCATCCATGACACTATTTATCACAGAAACGAATAACTTTCGGACATATATTTATACGAACTTTTCTTCTTATTTTGACGTCAGCAACATGCTCCTGAATTTTCTACACGTACTCAAGAAACAACCTGTATACTATTTTCACAATTCTCACTTCAGTAGCTTCACAATTATAGTGAAATATTCAGCGGATAGAATTTTACAGAGTGTTCTTGTGATTGAGACCAACAATGCTAAAACCCAAGTCGAAACACTATTGAACTATCTGAACAAGCTCAAGCAGCCAATAAACGTTACCTGAAGATATAATATACAGTGTGTCCCACTTACCATGCTCACCATGGGCATCTTTTTAACGGTGAGAGATACGAGGTCGGTTAAATGACACCAAATGTGTTGTTTGTCAAGGCCAACTATAATGTGAAAAAATATTTTGATAAAATCTATTCGTTTTTGTTTTATACGCAAAAAACAGATTTTGATCATTTTCAAGTCTCCTCCGTAACTTCTTTATTTATGAGAATATTCAAATAGGAATTTCACATTCTCATGGCAGTTTTTCAAAGTGATTTCGAAAGAAATATGAAATTCATACCAACTCTTCTTGAATTTGAGATATCAGCACCAACTTCAGTTCTTCGAATGTAGGTCATAGCTCACTATGACTTAGTTACAAATAACTTTTTTTCTCTTACAGATCATATAACGCAGTAATAGCTTTGTGTTGATAACAACGTAGTTGTCGTCATTTATACAAAAACAAAGAGTTATTTGGAAGCCGCCATCTCGAATTTATGAATTTAAACAGAAAAATCATGATCTCCGACCTCAAAAACCCCCACTTACCAATTTTGAATGAATTCGGACCAAATCTTGTTCGCCATCTTGGAGCAGCCATTTTTTTTAATTTCAACAAAAATTCCATAATGAATTGTCACCGAAATTATGAACACCTGCCAAATGTTAAGTTAATCGGGGTTATGGAATTTTTGTTGAAATTAAAAAAATGCCTGCTCCAAGATGGCGGACAAGATTTGGTCCGATTCCATTCAAAATTGGTAAGTGGGGGTTTTTGAGGTCGGAGATCATGATTTTTCTGTTTAAATTCATAAATTCAAGATGGCGGCTTCCAAATGATTCTTTGTTTTTGTATAAATGACGACAACTATACGTTGTTATCAACACAAAGCTATTACTGCGTTATATCATCTGTAAGAGAAAATGAGTTTTTTGTAACTTAGTCATAGTGAGCTATGACCTACATTTGAAAAACTAAAGTTGGTGCTGATATCTCAAATTCAAGAAGAGTTGGTATGAATTTCATATTTTTTTCGAAATCACTTTGAAAAACTGCCATGAGAATGTGAAATTACTATTTGAATATTCTCATAAATGAAGAAGTTACGGAGGAGACTTGAAAATGATCAAAATCTGTTTTTTGCGTATAAAACAAAAACGAATAAATTTTATCAAAATATTTTTTCACATTATAGTTGGCCTTGACAAACACCACATTTGGTGTCATTTAACCGACCTCGTATCTCTCACCGTTATAAAGATACCCATGGTGAGCATGGTAAGTGGGACACACTGTATAATGTATGAATTTCCCCAATATTTTATTTTTGTTCCAGAGAATCTGAGGAAACACTCTGTCGTTCCTCTGATGCCCAAGATCTGCACTGAGCAATTCACCTACACTCCCACGAATCCTGAATACAAGAATATCTCGGTGACGATCGAACCTGGGACTTCAATCGTGATCCCTTCCACAGCCATCCACCATGACCCCAAGTACTTTGAGGAGCCAGAAAAGTTCAAGCCAGAAAGGTTCATCAATAAGGACGTCAACAAATACGCCTATTTAGGATTTGGCTTGGGACCCAGAATGTGTATAGGTAGGATTAGATTAGATTAGATTTGGAATGGGGCCTTCGGGCTATCTGCCTCCACACTGCGACCTTTTCAGATCTATTGTGTCTGCCCTCAAAATCGATTAGAGTTCTTCGGCTAGCCCCGCCTTTTCTAGGACACTCCATAGGCTAGCTTTCAGATCTCCTGTGTATCTCTGGGCTCCTGGTTTTTCCTCACCCAGCGTAAGGAACCTCAGTCTTGACAAGCCCTCACAGTGGCGAAGTATGTGTGTTTCTTCCTCTTCTTGACAGAACCTGCACAGCAGTTCTTCAGTCAGACCTATCGTACCCATGTGTTTGTTGAGCCTACAATTCCCTGGGAGAAGTCCCACTAGTATTCTAGTTGAACTTCGTTTCTGGCTTAGTAGATATTCTGTGAATGTTGGCGATGTTTTTTTAATAAACTCTTTTGCCTGTCTCATTCCTGGCGAGTTGTTCCACCATTCTTGAGATTTAGTTTGCATCCATAATTTGATACTAGTCTTTTGTATAGCTTTCGCAATACCACAGAAGGGTTCTGGGCAATTAAGAGCTTTGTTTGCTCCTGCTCGGGCAAGTGAGTCTGCCTTTTCATTGCCCTCGTACCCTGTATGTGCTGGTACCCATGCTAGAGTCAATCTGTTCTGACTGCCCAGTGCATTTAGGGTTTCTAAGCAGTCCCATACTAGTTTTGAGTTAACTTGCATAGAGTTGACTGCTTTGATTGCCGCCTGGCTATCTGAATAGATTGCAATGGTTTTGCCTTCAAACTCTTGCCTTATCAATTCTTTCACGCAATGATGTATTGCAATAATTTCTGCCTGAAACAACGTCGCGTATATGCCTTAGCTCAGTGAGATTCTTGTTTTTGGCTTGGCCCCATAAATACCAGCTCCTGATCCTTCCTCACTTTTGGAGCCGTCCGTATGGACAGCAATGCCTGCATTGATAGGAGGTCCTTCCTTCCATGCCTAGGTAGAATAAATTGGCTTTGGTTTCCATGTAGTCCAATCAATGAATACTGATGAAAATCCTGACGTCTATGTGAGCCGGAAGAGGAGGCCGCTTTTCGGTTTTTTGCTTATATGTCAAAAATGGTTCGTCCTAGAAGATAATCCACCCATACCAAATGGAAGCTGATACAATTTCCTACACCTCTCTTTTCACTTTCAACGAATACCCAACCGTTTTTGAGCTGAACGATCCAAGAGAAAATTTTTGAAAAAATGATTGTTACCTCACATTTTTCACCGAACATGTCTTCATCTCGTCTGAACTATGCCTTTCAAGATGGAATTTTTTTCGAACTAATTGCAAAAAATTGATTTCTCTTCGAGAATATTTCTATTCAGTAAAGGATTATCCATCGAAGAGGCCCACCTCTATTTTCTTGTTAGTTTTCATCAAGAAAAGACATCGAATGATGCGATCCACAATGAGGCCTTTTCATGGCAACATGTCGTTACCTCCACATTCCGTTACTCCCACATCGCATTGTTCCCACATTTCGATAGGCCCACATTACGTTACGCCCATATTTCGATATACCCAGAACGCAATACCGTATCGTAGGTGTGACTCAATGAGAGTGTGGTACACCATCTTAGCAGCTGTGTAATCCTATTGTTGTGAGATTAGCTTCACTGCGTAACATCCTGAAGATATTTTGTTTCTCAATAAAATAACATGATCTTCGAATTTTGATTTACAATCGATATGAATTCCTAAGCATTTTATACAGTTCTTATTCTCAATGTTGCCAGAAGCAAGTGTCAAATCATCAAGAGCACATTCGAATGGTATAAGATTTGTTTTGTTAATATTGAACGAGAGTTTATTAGATTCGCACCAATCTGTAATTTTCATTATATCTCACTTTATAATGTTATTCAATTCAGTACTATTTTTGCTATGCCATATGATAGTCGTGTCGTCTGCAAATAATGTGAACTTACCAGATATATTGATATAGGTCATATTATTCACGTATAGCAAAAAAAAGAACTGGACCAAGGACCGAGCCCTGAGGAACCCCACAACATACTTTTTGTGTTGATGAAATTTCTCCTTTAGTTTTCACAATTTGTTCACGATTATATAAATATGACTGAATCCACTCATAGGAGAGTCCCCTGAAACCATAGTGATGCAGTTTCTGGAGTATCTTTCTAAGGAAGTACAGTCGTCTTCAGATAACATGTCGCACATGGACGGTGTCAGTTCTGGTAATCACCACTGCAATAAGAACGCTTATACCGTCCAACCGCGACATTTTATCTGCAGACGACTGTACTTCTAGCTTTGGTTTACTGAAGCTGAGTAGCTCTGTTATGCGACTGGTTCATGAATCTTTTCTCTTCTCGTTGATCTGGATCTGCTCTCCCAAAGCACGAGTTTTCAGTCTCTTCTAATTTCCTCTTCTTCCACAGATAGGTTTAGGACTGGGGAATGAAGATACATGAGTTTGACTATTGTCTTTTCTCAGTTGCATTAGTGTTTCAAAAAGCAATCAACATGGAAATGTTACAAAGAGATGATTTGATGACTAATGCTCCACAAGGAATTATTTTGATTTCCATTGGTTTGGTAATACAGTCAAATTGATGAATATCCATTGCCAACAACTTGAAATTTAAGGTTAGCATGCGTCCGTCTTCAGTGAAATCCTTTCTGAATTTGGCGTATCATCAGCACATCATGAAACTTTTTTGATGGAATATAGGAAGGAAATATCTTCAGGAATATTTTCAATGAATGATTGATTAGGTGACTGACACAAGATTTGATAGCTTACCGTAGGTAGTCATCAAGATGTGATCCATATTTTCTACTATGATATTTCATCTGAGTACAAGATGAAATCAATTGTGTATTTCATTCCTCAATAACTTCATGAAGTGAGAATAACTTTGAATCCATGACCAGTTGATCGGCAGTGACAATGATATCCACATGAATTCCTAGGTTCACTCCTTAAACTTCATATTTCTGTCATAATGTACATTTGTTGTACCGTTTATTCAATTCAAATTGAGATATTGGTTTGGTTTGGGAAGGTAGATAGATTGTCAGAAGACGATGATAATCTTTTTTTGTTACTCTTGGAGCGCACGAAAGGAAATTCTTATAATGTTCGTGGAATATTGTGCGTATCTAGAAAGGATAGGAAGAGGAGGTAGATGTTGGAATTTTTCGTTCCAATTTCCGAAAGAAATGAGTTCTTTGGAATACTTCCAGTAGCAAATAATTCCACAGCTTCGCCGTTCTATAGACGAACGAGTTTGGGTAGAATGTTATTTAACATATTTCAAGGTTGACGACGAAAGGATGTGCTGACTGGGCATGTCGGAATCGTCTGACTAGTGGTATTGCTAGTGATAGAATTATATCGAAGTTTTCTGAGAAACATTTCTAGTGGAAGAACCTATAGACATAAAAGGTTGTCGACTTTTCTACGGTGTTCTAATGAGGTCAAAGAGTTAATGAGGGTGGCATCACCCACGGCTCTTCTCTGGATAGAATCTAAGAGCATCAGCGTATGTTTTGGTGCTGAACTCCATACATGAGAGCAGTATTCTCAAAATGGCTGGATCTGTGCATTATAGATCATGAAAAGCTGTTGAGATGTAAAGTAAAAAACTTTTGCGATGAATCGGGCATGATTTTCCTATGAGAGTATTGCTGATGGTAATACCGACTTGGTGAAAATGGTGCTCCAGACATTGTTATATCAGGCATACTGAGTTCCGCTTTTCTTGGTAGCGTTGAATTCAACTAGGTTGTTGGTTCCTTCAGGTTTCAATTTCCGCAAGATCTTCATTGACAGCATTGGCCTGCCTTTATCGTTATTGCTTAGTTTCCAGGGAAGAAATGGGTATTCTATAAGAGAATGCAGTATGGAGAGTACCAAGGTCAGCAAAGCTGTGGATAGGGCAACTGGTTGCTCCCAATAGTTGGTTGATATGAAGTAGAAACAATTTTGGTGCAAAAAAAAATTGGATCGAGTATCAAAATTAGGAATAGGAATATGGCGTTCTTTATTTTCAAGACGAAAAAACTTTTTGAATGATTTCACATATTTTTCAGGTTCTCGTTTCGCTATAGCACAGATGAAAGTTGGTTTGGCTTATTTCCTGAAAAACTACGAATTCACAGTGAGCCCCAAGACAGAAACACCTCTGAAGTACGATCCTTGGTTCTTCCTTCTATCGGTGAAGAGTGGTCTCTGGATTGAATTGCGGAAGATTGAAGATAACTGAACCATCCAAGACTGATCCACATGAAGACATTTGGATAGCTCGACATAATAATTATTACAAATACCTTTAAGGAAACGATGTATTCATCGCTGTGTAACTTCATTGGTTATATAGAAACAGGAGGGACAAACAAATGTATCATAAAACAATTCATTCCATGATATCGATGATTATTTGATGAATATAAATATTGCAAATTGATAAGCAGGATTCTTTCATTGTTTTAATGAAAAAATGTGAACTTAGTTTGGATCTCCAGATTTTGGTAAAAGGCAGAGTTAGATAGAAGACACACAACTTGGATATTATGTTTCTCTCCAAGCAACATAGAGAGTGGCTTTATTTCTATAACACTTAACAGGCAGGAAGAATGCTGTATCTGTACTTTCTCTGTTTCCTGCAACGTTCCAAGTGATATGAATGAAATTGATGATCAAAATTGATACTACTCTGGGTAAACACCAAAGGATTGAATTTTCAATGAAAAAAATACACAAAATTGATTTTATAACATTCAGAGAACAAATGATATGTTTCACACGGCAGCGAATGTAGATTCACTGCAGTGGCTGATAGTTTCATTGTCTTCATTACCCCAAGAAACATTATTGTTTGTAATGAGGGTATTTTTGTTATATTCTGGTTCCCACGATAATGGATATCCTGTAATTTTCAACAAAACATACATGTAACATATGATGTCAGATAGATAGCACAATTACTATATAAATAATCCGACAAGATATACTGAAATTCACTCTGATATCCCCACGAAGTTTTGGCATTGCGATCTCAACCTCTTCAGAAGATGTGTAACTGTTCACAATTATGCTTAAATTTGGCCATAGATGCTACCCTACTTTTCTAGCCAGAATAGGGATAACCAACTCCGACTCATGTGAGGTGTGCACTGTGAAAGGTGATCTTGATCACATATTTTTCAACTGCAGAATTACAAGACAAGAAAGCCAACAGCTCTACTCTGATCTTCTGAACATGAAAACCCCTACCCCCATTAACTTGCTCAATCTCCTCGCTGTTAATGAAAAGAAAATAACACAAAGTATCATGAAATTCATACAGAAAACGGGATTGAAGATTTGAATAAAAGTAGTTCAGCTTCGTTCCTCTGTTTTCTACCTTATGTGTTATATACCCTCTTTTAGCGGTCCATTGTTGTGTGCCTTATAAATGAAATGCCATGATGAACCTTGGCGAACAATAACCTTGTGATCCCACGTTTTTCCTGGTGTTATCTTTTATTTGAGTTTCCAATTTTCCTGGTAGGATTTAGTATCAATGAAAAATAGACATGAGTGACTGGCTGTATGGACCATGTTCGAATGCCAAAACAAAAAAAAATATATAACATAATGAATCAGAACAATAATGATTACGTTTTTCATTGAAAATATGATTTATAATAAAATATAAAATGAAAATATCAATATCAAGTAATCAAATTGTGATTGATCAGTAGATATGGAATCAAAGTTTACTGAGCAGATATTTCGTTAAATTGATTTTAAATTTTTCTGCTCATTCTATATTTTTCAACTCATTAGGTGAGGAGTTATATAGAACTATTCCATTATGGAATATCCATTGTTTACTAAAATTAGACTCATAATTATTTGCGTAGCGAGCTGCCTAGTAAAACAAATAACTATTATTATAGTATAGGAGATTCCAGATAGCTGTTTCGTTTTACCAGAGCTCATCAGTGGTATATTTGGTTGTACTTGGTAGGTACTCATTCCTATGAATATACAAGGTATATCCGAAATTAGGGTGATTAATAATATACACTATTCATTAAACAAATCCATGTATATACAGTGTGTCCAAGCTTTTCACCCCCTTACATACGAAGGCGTAGATTGAATTGAAAATTGCTCAGACCAGTCGATTTCCACTTCAAATACCACGAAATATTCAATTGATACCGGAAATTTTCCCGAGATCACGAATATTTTGTAAATTCCCATGAGTCAGAGACGAGGGGAAATTTCCTGAATATTTCTCGAGTGAAATAGCACTACCTAACCTAACCTGAGATATGTTACCAGATCTAGTAACCTAACCTAAGATATGTTACTAGATCTAGTAAACTAACCTAAGATATGTTACCAGATCTAGTAACCCAACCTGAGATATGTTACCAGATCTAGTAACCTAACTTGAGATATGTTACCAGATCTAGTAACCTAACTTGAGATATGTTACCAGATCTAGTAACCTAACCTGAGATATGTTACCAGATCTAGTAACCTAACTTGACATATGTTACCAGATCTAGTAACCTAACCTGAAATATGTTACCAGATCTAGTAACCTAACCTGAAATATGTTACCAGATCTAGTAACCCAACTTGAGATATGTTACCAGATCTAGTAACCCAACTTGAGATATGTTACCAGATCTAGTAACCCAACCTAAGATATGTTACCAGATCTGGTAACCCAACATAAGATATGTTACCAGATCTGGTAACCCAACATAAGATATGTTACCAGATCTGGTAACCCAACATAAGATATGTTACCAGATCTGGTAACCCAACCTAAGATATGTTACCAGATCTAGTAACCTAACTTGAGATATGTTACCAGATCTAGTAACCCAACTTCAGATATGTTACCAGATCTGGTAACCCAACCTAAGTTATGTCACCAGATCTAGTAACCCAACCTAAGATATGTTACCAGATCTAGTAACCTAACCTAAGATATGTTTCTAGATCTAGTAACCTAACCTAAGATATGTTACCAGATTCAGTAAACCAACCTAAATGTATTCAAGAAACGAAAAAGTCGATATGTTGTTAATATGCAATTTCAATCAACACACAAATGAAGAAGAAGAATTATTGATGCAATCGATTAACTGTCAAACACATAAAACATTTTGTGTAGGTATTGACTTATTCCGTATCTTTTTTGCTTATAATCACGTTGTGCTACCTTCTGAGAAAAAGAAAACAACCCCAAAGAATGTTTTTAATTGATGATTTAGAAACAAGTATCAACTCAACTTCTGGTTGAAACTTCACAGGTGAAAACCGGAAATCCATATCTTATTTTTTCCGCCTCAATCGGATCTAGAAGTTTTTTCAAAATAGTAGCTCTGATTCAGCTCTGATGAGGTTTATCAAAAATCAAGGAAATCGAAAATAACAACAGGAAATCGGTGACAGTATAATACGGAATCTTTATCATTCTTTTGAAGTAATCAACTATCTGTCAGTGTGATTTTATTTTGAAAAATTAATTCACTATTTACCAATTTACGTAACAGTGAAGTCGAATGTAAGATAAAAGGACTTGCAGTTCTTTCTCAGAGACAGTGTTATTGGCGTATTCTTCGGAATTATAGCACAGCAGAAGCCATCAACAGTGTATATATCAATATATGTCATATATATCCGAGAAAAAAGTTCTCACCTTCTACCCGTCGGAAAAAAGTAATTCATGAAAAGTGACATTTTATGCCCTGTCAACAGAGATGAAATTTCGAACTTTTTTCCTGTCATAGAAAATATACTTCTTTCGATAGAATATGCTTGGATTCATTGGGTCATTTATTTATACTGGAATATTGGTCTCTTCTCAAGTAAATAATATTTTCAATTGAATTTTCTCAGACCATCAGCGGCGAAGATTTCTCGAACTGTATAAATGAAATGAAATCTCCTGATAGAAGTGAACCATTGACTACATTTCCATCAATCTCTAATTGAGTAAGTATATTTCTTGAAACAAATAGCTCAAATTCTTCATTATCATAGTATCTAGATGGAGGTATTTTATGATATAATCACGAACATAATATGCTGTATTCTAATATGACAAAATACAGGATATTTCATTCGACAAAATCAAGTTGACTCAACTTCCGGTTGAACCGTAAACTATTTCAATAAATAGTATCAGTATGAAGAAATCTCCACTGTTCTCGATAATAATGAATGGAAAATAAATGGAAATTATTCGATGCATTAATACCTAAGACTTCATCAATTATTATTGTGTGTACTATTATACTGTTCTCAATTTCCTTTGAAATCAGTTATGTGGCTTTTTTCTGCTTTGGCAAAGGTGAACAATCTCTAATCGTTATTTCTTCCTAATCCACCTTTCAGAGTAAGTTTCCATAAGGAATCAAATCTAGTTGTTTTCATTCAGGTTCGAAATAATGAAATGATATTCATATACCGTCTATTCAGACTCAAAAAGATATACCCCATATGGGCACTTCCCACTTCAATAATGAATTCACAAGGAATATCATCAATAATTGTATGTACCTCATTGAGGAGTATGGTACATTGACTTGGTGGATTGATGAAAGTCGTTGTGGAAATGTTAACAAGGACAGAGATGAATATGTTGTTATAAAAATGCATTCTCTGATATAAATATCGGGTAAATATTCCATTCGGTTCTATTAATAGTATCATACTGCGATAATGTCGATAAAATGACGCGAAGATGCAGAAATGGTCACTGATAAGAAAAACCATCCTCAATTGAATGAAGATACGAAAACAACAACGCCATTTTCATAATACGATGTTTCTAAAACAATGAATATGTTTGAGACATATGATTTTTCTACGGCTAAAACACAAAATTGCTCTTGTTGTACTGTGTGAGATACATCAATGAGGTACATTGTATGTCATCAATTTTATTTCCGTATCTGATATCACAATGACTCCATTCTGAATAGCATGTTTATATCACACATATAACCGAAGGAGAGGTTGCTTCTATCGCACAGAATATGAAAAATATGCATTCTATTGGAATAGACGGGATTTCGAGCAATTCTTTGAAAAGAATAGCTCCGTCTATATCAAAACCTTTGACACATATAATAAACGCATCTCTGAGTCAAGGTATTTTTCCAGCTAGATTAAAAAATGCAACTGTTTCCCCAGTATTAAAAAGAGGAAATCCTGGGAGTGTGGATAACTACCGTCCAATAACAATACCCC